AGAGTTACAGAGGGTTACAGAGAGTTACAGAGAGTTACAGAGAATTACAGAGGGTTACAGAGTTACAGAGGGTTACAGAGTTACAGAGGGTTACAGAGAGTTACAGAGAGTTACAGAGAGTTACAAAGAGTTACAGAGAGTTACAGAGGGTTACAGAGGGTTACAGAGCGTTACAGAGGGTTACAGAGAGTTACAGAGGGTTACAGAGAGTTACAGAGAGTTACAGAGGGTTACAGAGAGTTACAGAGGGTTACAGAGAGTTACAGAGAGTTACAGAGGGTTACAAAGGGTTACAGAGAGTTACAGAGGGTTACAGAGAGTTACAGAGAGTTACAGAGAGTTACAGAGGGTTACAGAGGGTTACAGAGAGTTACAGAGGGTTACAGAGAGTTACAGAGAGTTACAGAGGGTTACAGAGAGTTACAGAGAGTTACAGAGAATTACAGAGGGTTACAGAGTTACAGAGGGTTACAGAGTTACAGAGGGTTACAGAGAGTTACAGAGAGTTACAGAGAGTTACAAAGAGTTACAGAGAGTTACAGAGGGTTACAGAGGGTTACAGAGCGTTACAGAGGGTTACAGAGAGTTACAGAGAGTTACAGAGGGTTACAGAGAGATAAAGAGAGTTACAGAGGGTTACAGAGAGTTACAGAGGGTTACAGAGAGTTTGAGAGGGTTACAGAAATTTACAGAGGGTTACAGAGGGTTACAGAGAGTTACAGATGGTTACAGAGAGTTACAGAGAGTTACAGAGAGTTACAGAGGGTTACAGAGAGTTACAGAGAGTTACAGAGAGTTACAGAGGGTCACAGAGGGTCATAGAGGGTTACAGAGATTTACAGAGGGTTACAGAGAGTTACAGAGAGTTACAAAGGGTTACAGAGAGTTACAGAGAGTTACAGAGGGTTACAGAGAGTTACAGAGAGTTACAGAGGGTTACAGAGAGTTACAGAGGGTTAGAGAGAGTTACAGAGGGTTACAGAGGGTTACAGAGAGTTACAGAGGGTTACAGAGAGTTACAGAGAGTTACAGAGAGTTACAGAGGGTTACAGAGGGTTACAGAGAGTTACAGAGGGTTACAGAGAGTTACAGAGAGTTACAGAGGGTTACAGAGAGTTACAGAGAGTTACAGAGAATTACAGAGGATTACAGAGTTACAGAGGGTTACAGAGTTACAGAGGGTTACAGAGAGTTACAGAGAGTTACAGAGAGTTACAAAGAGTTACAGAGAGTTACAGAGGGTCACAGAGGGTCACAGAGGGTTACAGAGATTTACAGAGGGTTACAGAGAGTTACAGAGAGTTACAAAGGGTTACAGAGAGTTACAGAGAGTTACAGAGAGTTACAGAGAGTTACAGAGAGTTACAGAGAGTTACAGAGAGTTACAGAGGGTCACAGAGGGTCACAGAGGGTTACAGAGATTTACAGAGGGTTACAGAGAGTTACAGAGAGTTACAAAGGGTTACAGAGAGTTACAGAGAGTTACAGAGAGTTACAGAGAGTTACAGAGGGTCACAGAGAGTTACAGAGGGTCACAGAGAGTTACAGAGGGTTACAGAGAGTTACAGAGGGTTACAGAGGGTTACAGAGGGTCACAGAGAGTTACAGAGGGTTACAGAGAGTTACAGAGAGTTACAGAGAGTTACAGAGGGTTACAGAGAGTTACAGAGGGTTACATAGAGTTACAGAGAGTTACAGAGAGTTACAGGGGGTTACAGAGAGTTACAGAGGGTTACAGAGAGTTACAGAGGGTTACAGAGAGTTACAGAGGGTCACAGAGAGTTACAGAGAGTTACAGAGAGTTACAGAGAGTTACAGAGGGTTACAGAGAGTTACAGAGGGTTACAGAGAGTTTGAGAGGGTTACAGAAATTTACAGAGGGTTACAGAGGGTTACAGAGAGTTACAGATGGTTACAGAGAGTTACAGAGAGTTACAGAGAGTTACAGAGGGTTACAGAGAGTTACAGAGAGTTACAGAGAGTTACAGAGGGTCACAGAGGGTCATAGAGGGTTACAGAGATTTACAGAGGGTTACAGAGAGTTACAGAGAGTTACAAAGGGTTACAGAGAGTTACAGAGAGTTACAGAGGGTTACAGAGAGTTACAGAGAGTTACAGAGGGTTACAGAGAGTTACAGAGGGTTAGAGAGAGTTACAGAGGGTTACAGAGGGTTACAGAGAGTTACAGAGGGTTACAGAGAGTTACAGAGAGTTACAGAGAGTTACAGAGGGTTACAGAGGGTTACAGAGAGTTACAGAGGGTTACAGAGAGTTACAGAGAGTTACAGAGGGTTACAGAGAGTTACAGAGAGTTACAGAGAATTACAGAGGATTACAGAGTTACAGAGGGTTACAGAGTTACAGAGGGTTACAGAGAGTTACAGAGAGTTACAGAGAGTTACAAAGAGTTACAGAGAGTTACAGAGGGTCACAGAGGGTCACAGAGGGTTACAGAGATTTACAGAGGGTTACAGAGAGTTACAGAGAGTTACAAAGGGTTACAGAGAGTTACAGAGAGTTACAGAGAGTTACAGAGAGTTACAGAGAGTTACAGAGAGTTACAGAGAGTTACAGAGGGTCACAGAGGGTCACAGAGGGTTACAGAGATTTACAGAGGGTTACAGAGAGTTACAGAGAGTTACAAAGGGTTACAGAGAGTTACAGAGAGTTACAGAGAGTTACAGAGAGTTACAGAGGGTCACAGAGAGTTACAGAGGGTCACAGAGAGTTACAGAGGGTTACAGAGAGTTACAGAGGGTTACAGAGGGTTACAGAGGGTCACAGAGAGTTACAGAGGGTTACAGAGAGTTACAGAGAGTTACAGAGAGTTACAGAGGGTTACAGAGAGTTACAGAGGGTTACATAGAGTTACAGAGAGTTACAGAGAGTTACAGGGGGTTACAGAGAGTTACAGAGAGTTACAGAGAGTTACAGAGAGTTACAGAGGGTCACAGAGAGTTACAGAGGGTCACAGAGAGTTACAGAGGGTTACAGAGGGTTACAGAGGGTCACAGAGAGTTACAGAGGGTTACAGAGAGTTACAGAGAGTTACAGAGAGTTACAGCGGGTTACAGAGAGTTACAGAGGGTTACAGAGAGTTACAGAGGGTTACAGAGAGTTACAGAGGGTTACATAGAGTTACAGAGAGTTACAGAGAGTTACAGAGGGTTACAGAGAGTTACAGAGGGTTACAGAGAGTTACAGAGAGTTACAGAGAGTTACAGAGGGTTACAGAGAGTTACAGAGAGTTACAGACAGTTACAGAGGGTCACAGAGGGTCACAGAGGGTTACAGAGAGTTACAGAGGGTTACAGAGAGTTACAGAGAGTTACAAAGGGTTACAGAGAGTTACAGAGAGTTACAGAGGGTTACAGAGAGTTACAGAGGGTTACAGAGGGTTACAGAGAGTTACAGAGGGTTACAGAGAGTTACAGAGAGTTACAGAGAGTTACAGAGGGTTACAGAGGGTTACAGAGAGTTACAGAGGGTTACAGAGAGTTACAGAGAGTTACAGAGGGTTATAGAGAGTTACAGAGAGTTACAGAGAATTACAGAGGGTTACAGAGTTACAGAGGGTTACAGAGTTACAGAGGGTTACAGAGAGTTACAGAGAGTTACAGAGAGTTACAAAGAGTTACAGAGAGTTACAGAGGGTTACAGAGGGTTACAGAGCGTTACAGAGAGTTACAGAGAGTTACAAAGAGTTACAGAGAGTTACAGAGGGTTACAGAGTTACAGAGGGTTACAGAGAGTTACAGAGAGTTACAGAGAGTTACAAAGAGTTACATAGCGTTACAGAGGGTTACAGAGAGTTACAGAGAGTTACAGAGGGTTACAGAGAGATACAGAGAGTTACAGAGGGTTACAGAGAGTTACAGAGGGTTACAGAGAGTTTGAGAGGGTTACAGAAATTTACAGAGGGTTACAGAGGGTTACAGAGAGTTACAGAGAGTTACAGAGAGTTACAGAGAGTTACAGAGGGTTACAGAGAGTTACAGAGAGTTACAGAGAGTTACAGAGGGCCACAGAGGGTCATAGAGGGTTACAGAGATTTACAGAGGGTTACAGAGAGTTACAGAGAGTTACAAAGGGTTACAGAGAGTTACAGAGAGTTACAGAGAGTTACGGAGGGTCACAGAGAGTTACAAAGGGTCACAGAGAGTTACAGAGGGTTACAGAGAGTTACAGAGAGTTACAAAGAGTTACAGAGGGTTACAGAGAGTTAGAGAGGGTTACAGAGAGTTACAGAGGGTTACAGAGAGTTACAGGGGGTTACAGAGTTACAGAGGGTTACAGAGAGTTACAGAGAGTTACAGAGGGTCACAGAGGGTTACAGAGATTTACAGAGGGTTACAGAGAGTTACAGAGAGTTACAGAGAGTTACAGAGATTTACAGAGGGTTACAGAGAGTTACAGAGAGTTACAAAGGGTTACAGAGAGTTACAGAGAGTTACAGAGAGTTACAGAGGGTTACAGAGAGTTACAGAGGGTTACAGAGAGTTACAGAGGGTTACATAGAGTTACAGAGAGTTACAGAGGGTTACAGAGGGTTACAGGGAGTTACAGAGGGTTACAGAGAGTTACAAAAGGTTACAGAGAGTTACAGAGGGTTACAGAGGGGTACAGAGAGTTACAGAGGGTTACAGAGGGTTACAGAGAGTTACAGAGAGTTACAGAGAGTTACAGAGGGTTACAGCGAGTTACAGAGAGTTACAGAGGGTTACAGAGAGTTACAGAGAGTTACAGAGAGTTACAGAGAGTTACAGAGAGTTACAGAGCGTTACAGAGGGTTACAGAGAGTTACAGAGAGTTACAGAGAGTTACAGAGGGTTACAGAGAGTTTCAGAGAGTTACAGAGGATTACAGAGAGTTACAGAGGGTTACAGAGGATTACAGAGGGTTACAGAGGGTTACAGAGAGTTACAGAGGGTTACAGAGGGTTACAGAGAGTTACAGAGGGTTACAGAGGGTTACAGAGAGTTACAGAGGGTTACAGAGGGTTACAGAGGGTTGTGTAGTTGTGTTACCGGGGCACAGTCCTTCACACATAGAGACACCTCACAGTGCAGGTACAGGTCTGAGGAGGAGGTTCCGCTGAACTTGAAGGTGTTGAAGGAGAAGTAGTTGAAGGTTCCCAGGCCGTTCTGGTGCACCGTCACGGACTCGTCTGCAGCATTGGCACAGCTGCGTACAACAGAATAAAGCAGAATTAAAGCTACTCTACAGAACTTTACAGAACCCTATGGTATCAAACATTTGAATGGACATGCAACTGAATAGAGTAGAGTAGATGGGTGTATTCCCAGTAAAGTGTCAATTATATTATCCAGACTAGGTTATAACTGGAAAACTAAAATTACTTTCATAGATTAGAAAAAAAGACTTCAAACACAAACATATCCAAGAGATATTGTGGATAAAATCATTTAATTGACTCATTCCGTCAAAGTGATCACTTCCGTTACACAGATAAACTGAGCCACTAGCAAAAATGTGACTGATGTATAAAACAGTTACTACTACGAATGGACAGAAGATGTATTTGGCTGAATGAAAAACATATACTGTATCTCCTTTTTAGCCTTCTGTCACATTTAAAACTTTAACCATTTTACCCTTTAGTACAAACAATAGACACTGGATTGGGAGAAAGAAAGGGCTCTTATTTTGCCGCTTGCACCTTTAGTGAGCAGTTAATCTTGCTGGATATCTGTCACAAGCCTAAGAGGAAGTGTAGGTTCAGCAGTCTCACCCCATCTTCACCAGCTCGTATTTGAGCGTGGAGTTGGTGTCCGCCTCACTGGTGGCCCAGCAGGAGTCCGTCACCAGTTTGACCAGGTCCTGGTCCAGTCCCTCTGTGCGGAGCTCCACCCACACAGTCTGGTCCAGGGTGATATTATCTCCTGGGGTCAGAGCTTTGGTCCGGCCCTCGTCCCCGTAAGCCTTCATGCTCAGGTTATAAGTCCAGTTGCCCGCTGTGATGGTCGCCATAACCAAGCTGCAACAAGAACCACAGATGAGTCCAGATGACGTCTGCAGAGGCACTTCTTCTTCTTCACATTTTCATAAAACTGTTCTGTAGGACATTGTTAGACAGTCGGAGCCAGGGACAGAGAGAGGACTTCTCAGAGCACCTGGATGTCTTCTCAGTACATTTTGAGGCCTGGAGGGACAGTTAAATTGGCTCAGCTCAGGGTTAGTTAGCGAAAGAAGAGCTAAGAAGAGAGTTTTGTATTAATATTTCATTGTAAAGAGAATTAAATATTGTTTATTTCAACTTTTCTGGTCAATTTCATCCTTATTTGAGAATACAATCCATTTTCAAATCAAATCAAGAGACATTTAGAACAGGGACAAATGTGTAATTAATTGCAATTAATCACAAGTCAACTATGAGATTAATGCATTTAATCGCGAAAAAATAATGTAATCCTTTGATGGATAGTCTCTCTTTCTCTCTGGTCTGTCTGGGTTCTTTCTCTGGCCTGTCGTACTGTTCTCTCTCTCTAGTCTCTCTCCGGTCTCTCGCTTTTCCCTCTCTCTAGTCTATCTTTCTGGTCTCTCTCTGTTCTCTTTCTCTAGTCTCTCTTTCTGGTCTCTTTCTGTTCTCTCTTTCTATCTCTCTCTAGTCTGTCTCTGTAGTCACTCTCTCAGGTCTCTCTCTCTAGTCTCTCTGTCTGGTCTCTCTTTCTGGTCTCTATCTCAGGTCTCTTCCTCTGATCTCTCTTTCTTCAGGCACTTTAAAGCGCACATGCTCCTACCTGTCCTTGATCTTCAGTCCCACAGTCTGGACCTGGGGCATGCTGTAGAAGCAGGAGAAGTCCAGCTCAAACTGGTCTGCACGTGTGATCAGACCAGACGTTGTGTTGGACAGCATCACTTTATTTTTGTGCATAACACTGTCGTTCTCCACCTGGTGCAGACGTTTCAAATTATTATCATGAGAGTAGATTTTTTTTTAAATAACTCAATCATGTCAGTGCAACAGCCCCAACTACTGGCTCCTTAAAAACATGTTTTATACGACTCCTACTACTGCTACTACTTACCGTGACATTGGTGCCACACATGTCGGTGCTGTTGAAGCTAAACGTGAGCAGGCCCTTGTCCTTGTCGACGAGGCCGGTGCAGTTTGGGTCGATCAGCTGGAGCTTATCATAATGGATGTTTTTCTCCTTCAGCAGACACAGGGCCAGGGAGAGAGACCCCGAGCTCTCGCTACACACTGTGGGCTCCCCTGCGAACAGAACTAACGTTATCCCTCTTTCTGGTCTATCTCTGGTCTCTGTCTGGTCTCTCTCTCTGGTCTTTCTCTGGTCTCTCTCTCCGGTCTTTCTTTGGTCTCTCTTGTCTTTCTCTCTCTGTTTTTTCTCCCCTCTGGTCTTTCTCTGGTCTTTCACCGGTCTTTCTCTTGGCTCTCTCTGGTCTCTCTCTCTGAACAGGGTTTATTTTCTATTGTTCTTACCGAAAGTGTTGTTGGGTCGATAACGTGAGGCAAACACAGCGCGGCAGAGACATGTCTCTTTTCCGTCTTCCAGAGCACAGAACTCGTTCTCAGCGCAGAAAGTGTCCACACATTTCCCCGCAGTAGCTTCTGAAACCATGAAGCACAACCAGCCTCACATGGTGTACATCTCAATGGTGTGCACAGGGTGTTTACTACACAGTAAGTAAGTAGTAAGTCATCTTTATTTATATACCGCCTTTTCACGGCGGTATACAATTGTTAATTATGGGCATTTATCTCTCACTCCACACAGAGATGGGAGCGGGGTCGCCGGTACAGGAGGCGCATGCCAGACATGCCTATTGTACATATTTTTAGTGGTAGGGGAAACCGGAGTACCCGGAGGAAATCTACGCAGACACGGGGAGAACATGCAAACTCCACTCAGAAAGGCCCTGGTCCGACCGGGATTCGAACCCAGGACCTTCTTGCTGAGAGGCGAGAGTGCTATCCACTCAGCCACCGTGCCACCGTACATAGATCGGTTGTGTTAATACAACTTATCACCGTACTTGACAGACTACAAGCCGCTACTTTCTTTGAACTCTGCTGTCTCCAAAGCATCGTGGCTAATCTCTGGTCTTTTACAATAGATTGATTGATAAGTCATGGAAGCTAACAGCTATGGAAAGCATGCTAAGGTGAGCTAACAGCTAAGCCCCGGTAATCCAAGATGGCGTTCTATTGTTGGGTTTCATATGACGTTAGGGCAGAGGCGCGAATAACAAACGTGGGACAGGACGTGACATATCCTGGCGGTGCAGTCTGCTGGGTATATACATACACAGAGATATAGTAGAAGAATAAGCGCTGTCAAAATGCCATTTTTTTGTGCGGTGTACGGTTATACAGTAGCAACCGCGCAAATAGAGAGAAAGAGAAGACTTTCTTCCGTGTTCCAATCATAGACTGTAAATATTAACGACCGTAGTCACGCCTATCTCCGACATTCTAACTAATGGGCCAAAAATCTCTACTGGAGCTATCCAAAATGGCCGCAAGTGGTCCCACCCACAAGAAAATTGTGAAAAAACGCATCTGTGCATGCGTCAGCTGGCGCAGCTCCATTCATTTAAAAGAGTGACTTCAAAAATTCACAGCCAGTAAACTAGGGTGGTCCAAAAAAATTCACTCCCCTCAGCATTGACACACATGTGGAACAGAGCTTTGGGCCAAGAGCCAACTTTGGACCATCCTGTAAAGACGTTTTCGAGAGGTAAGAAGATGCTATATGTTAGCATTGGCTAATTCTTATTCCGGGTCCACCCCCATCGGCCCGGGATGGTATTGCAAGCATGTCAGCGCACGTCATTTTGGCCACTTTTGAGCCAGGACCCGCCCCCACTGGTTCCAACTGTGGTCTCATATAAAGGAGTATACACACAAATCACTCTAATGAGGTGGGCGAGTTGGATCGAGGCTTTCCCAGACAAGCGCCCCCTGCAGGCCACCCGAATGAGACGCAGCAATTTCTTCTCAAATTCAAGCAGTTCTGATTGGTCAGAGCGCGGCCGAGGCCCTCTGTGCACGTGCATGAGAGCCACATACACATATTTGGCGCAACGCATAATGGGAGATCATCCTCTGCGCAGAACCAGGAGGACCAGACAATGCCCAAATACAGGCGAGTTCCCATGGATCTTTGCGAGGTCCAGGCGAGTTCCGCTAATCTTTCCGCGCCCACCCCAGCACAATGTGCCACTGAGATAAAATCATTCATTTGAACACGGCGCCTTCTTGGATCGCCAGGGCTTGGGTAGCCCACGGGAATCTAGTCTGCAGTACCACGAGCGCCCCCATGTGCCCCTGGGTGGGACAGCCATAAGCTAGTTATACCCCATCCAGATATTATCTTTAATGGCTCGTCTTTAAATCCTGTTGTGCTGAGTGAGAGATATTCTGTACACATAACTTTTACTTTCATGGTTTTTAACAAAAACCTGGTCCAGTCTGGTCCAATTAATTCTAGTCCGGACTGGCTCACCACATTGCGTCTGGTTCCTCCAGTTGGCCACTGGTTTCTCGAGGAGGTCACAGGTCATGGCTAAAGTCTCATGGAACATGCAGCGAGCGGTGTCTACAGACGGATATTTGCACAGGAAGTTTTCACACATCTTCATCAACTCATTCCCTTCCGCGATGGAAAAGCAGGAGGAGAGGATGGAGGAGTTCAGGAGGCCGCAGCTGTGGAGGAGAAGGAGGTCAAAGAGTTCAGCGGACAGGCGTAAGTGGTAGTGCGTGTGGGCATCTCACTCTCTCATGTGTGTGTGTGTGTTTCTCACTGTTGTTTAATCTCAGTACAGTTGATAGTAGTGTCGTTCGTCTCTGTAAACACCAGGTCACATCTGTGGCAGAAACAGCTGCTTTAAACACTGTTGAATTTATTATCTTATCTACATTTATTTAAAACATTCAAGTAAATGTTAAAACACTTGGAGCACTGGAACTCTGTAACGGCCACAAAACAAATATGAAACCCCCTTTTGTCTTTTGAGTTCTTGATGGGACCAGTGGGGGCAGGTCCCGGCTCAAAAATGGCCAAAATGACGTTAATTCTGAGGGGAGTGAATTTTTTTGGACCAGTCTAGTTTAGTCGCTGTGAAATTTTGAAGGCGCTCATTAAATGAATGGGGCTCGTGCCGGCTGACGCATGCACAGATGCGTTTTCTCACATTTTCCAGGCCCAGCGGCCATTTTGAAACTGCCCATAGGCCGCGGAAGTTGTGGCAAATTAGTTAGAACGGCAGAGATAGGCGTGACTAGGTCCGTTAATACAGTATTTACAGTCTATGGATGGGACCCCTGAACCCACCCTGTTTTTCACAGATAATTTTACTTCAATCTAAAAAATCTGTTAACTTTTGCACAAATCCTTTTTCAAGGATTTTAGAGAATCAGCATTTTTTGAAAAGAGGAATTTTCTGACCATTGTCCATTCAGGTAAAGTTTTCATATTTTCTAGCAATGGACACTCTTTCCCTTTCATGAATATCCACAAGAAACATGGACTTGTATATCACTTCTGTCACTGTCAGTCCGGTGGGATGTACTCAATACAATATTCTCCCCAATGTTTACAAAATATCAGTTAAAGCCATCAGGAATTCTGTGCCAGTAGTTAGTGTAACAATAATATTGGATTGTTTTGGACACTCAAAGACGCTTCACATCTCATTATTCAGTCACTCCAAACACTACTGTTGTGATCTAGGGCTACAGTGTTCTTTGGATCAGTGCCAGACGTTAAGCCAGAACAGGTCGAGACTGTCTGAGTTTGCTACAGAGAATTTAGAGGATCCAGAAGAGGACTGGGAGAATGTTCTGGTAAACTGTATGGTAAAAACTCAAATCACCATGTTATGTATAGAAATATAATGCAAACAGCACGTCTTACCCGTCCTCACTCAGATTATTGTCCTTGTTGCTTTCTGGCGTAGAAGAATTACACACACCACTGTAGTCTGAGAACAGCAGAGCACAAAGTTATACATTTGGACAAAAGTTTTATTCACATTTCAGTGAAAAAATGCATATAGTCGCAGGTGGGGATGAACGGCCCTTCCCACACACTCTCATACTCACACAGGGCCGTGCAAACCGCTTTTGAATGTTAACTCAGATCGCCTCCATGGTGTGCGTCTGTACATGGTGTGCATCTGTACATGGTGTGCGTCTGTACATGGTGTGCGTCTGTACATGGTGTGCGTCTGTACAGGGTAAGTAAGTAATCTTTATTTATACACTGCCTTTCACAGACCAGTCACAAAGTGCTTTACAATTGTGGGCATTTGTCTCTCACTCCACACAGAGACAGGAGCGGGGCCAGCACAGGAGGCGCATGTCAGACCTATTGTACCTGTTATTAGTGATAGGGGAAACCGGAGGAAACCTACGCAGACACGGGGAGAACATGCAAACTCAGAAGTGGAGTTTCTTCCAACTCCTGGATCTTCGAACCCAGAACCTTCTTGCTGAGAAGCGAAAGTACTAACCACTCAGCCACTGTGCCGCCCATGGTGTGCTTCTGTACATGGTGTGCTTCTGTACATGGTGTGCTTCTGTACATGGTGTGCTTCTGTACATGGTGTGCTTCTGTACATGGTGTGCTTCTGTACATGGTGTGCTAAAACAAACACACTCACTGGCAGAATGGTCATCAGGAATGCCGATGGTCGCCGCGTCTCCTTTAAAGTACATTCTAAAATGTTCAGCGATGAAGGAGAACCCTGAGGATGTTTTGGAAATGTTGGCTCCATCCAGCGACACCGGAGACGTCAGGTTCACAACGGAACCGTTCACCTGCAGAAGTCAGCAGTGTGTGAGTATACCAGTCTGTACCAGTCTGTACCAGTCTGCACCAGTCTGTACCAGTCAGTACCAGTCTGTACCAGTCTGTACCAGTCTGCACCAGTCTGCACCAGTCAGTACCAGTCAGTACCAGTCAGTACCAGTCTGTACCAGTCTGTAGCAGTCTGCACCAGTCTGTACCAGTCTGTACCAGTCTGTACCAGTCTGTACCAGTCTGTACCAGTCTGTACCAGTCTGTACCAGTCTGCACCAGTCTGCACCAGTCAGTACCAGTCTGTACCAGTCTGTACCAGTCTGCACCAGTCTGCACCAGTCTGTACCAGTCTGTACCAGTCTGTAGCAGTCTGCACCAGTCTGTACCAGTCTGTACCAGTCTGTACCAGTCTGTACCAGTCTGTACCAGTCTGCACCAGTCTGCACCAGTCTGTACCAGTCTGCACCAGTCTGCACCAGTCTGTACCAGTCTGTACCAGTCTGTAGCAGTCTGCACCAGTCTGTACCAGTCTGCACCAGTCTGCACCAGTCTGTACCAGTCTGTACCAGTCTGCACCAGTCACCAGTCAGTACCAGTCTGTACCAGTCTGTACCAGTCTGTACCAGTCTGTACCAGTCTGTACCAGTCTGTACCAGTCTGTACCAGTCACTCGCTTGGTCTCTCTCTTTCTGTGTCTCTCTCGGTCTCGAGTCTCTCTCTCCCTGTATTTGTGTGTGTGTGTGTGTGTGTGTGTCCTCACCTTCACTTGCCCCTGTCTAAACAGGAAGACGGTAGCTTTGCCAGTCAACTCCAGAGCGTCCAGCACAGAGACATCTTTGCGTCTGTGCTCTCTGAAGAATGCTTTTACGCTGTACAAGTTTCTGTTGATGGCCATGTCGTAGGTGCAGCGGTCAGGGATGGTCACCACCTTTCCATTGAGGTTTTGGACTTGGTTTCCGGTCACAGTACACAGGTTGTTGATCAGACACCTGCAGACACACTCAGACCATCACACGCTGCAGACAGCCTCCTCTCCCTCAACAGCGACCTCAACACTTACTCTCCGTCTTTACACAATTTGCATGGAGAAGAAATCATCTTGGATTCGTCTGTACAGGAGAGCAGCTTTCCGTCAGCAGTACATGCTTTATTTCCAGACCTCAATGCAATTTCTGCGAGGAGAAAAGAAGAAAGCTGTTAGCTCAGATGTTAGCTCACTGTTAGCTTAGGCGTTGTCCCACACGTAATACCGACTACTTGTACGATCCAGTGTACCTGTCCCATTGCAAGTACATAGATCTCAGCCTTAGTTCTGGATCTACAGCCTTAGTTCTGGATCTACAGCCTTAGTCCTGGATTTACAGCCTCAGTCCTGGATCTACAGCCTCAGTCCTGGATCTACAGCCTCAGTCCTGGATCTACAGCCTCAGTCCTGGATCTACAGCCTCAGTCCTGGGTGTGAATCCCTCTCTCAATATGGGATGGGCGTCCCTGCTGTTTCTCACATAGTCCCCAGTGGGCTTTTGAGTAGTGCCCCGCCCACACGTTAGTGTCTCACTAACGTCATGTGACATCACAGTATGTTAGATCGATAAATATATACTTTATTGATCCCTTGTAGGAGAAATTCAGGTGTCCAGCAGAAGAAGACTCAGCAAGGTCCGTTGTACAGTCTGACAGCCAGAGAAACAAAGGACCTCTTAAAACGTTCCGTTCGGCAGCGCAGTGATAGCCCCAAAGAACACGTCACGAGCTCCAACAGACTGGTAAAATGTGAGCAACATCTGACTGCTCACATCAAAGGATCAGAGTCTGCTCTGACCTTTCTTAAAGACAACATTGGCCTGAGCTGACCAGTCCAGTCTGTGGTCCAGGTGGACTCCAAGGTATTTGTAGGACTGAACCACTTCGATGTCCTGTCCATTTAGTGTGACCGGTCGATGGGATGGGCTCCTGTGAAAGTCAATGATCATCTCCTTGGTCTTGGACGCATTGAGAATCAGATCATTTCTCTCCAGTCTGTACTCTGCTTCATCCCCCCCCTTCACACATGCCACAACAGCGGTATCGTTCGTGTATTTTTGTACATGGCATGTAACGGAGTTACTAACGTCATGTGACATCACAGTGTGTTACTAACGTCATGTGACATCGCAGTGTGTTACTAACGTCATGTGACATCGCAGTGTGTTACTAACGTCATGTGACATCACAGTGTGTTACTAAGGTCATGTGACATCACAGTGTGTTACTAACGTCTTGTGACATCACAGTGTGTTACTAAGGTCATGTGACATCACAGTGTGTTACTAAGGTCATGTGACATCACAGTGTGTTACTAACATCATGTGACATCACAGTGTGTTACTAAGGTCATGTGACATCACAGTGTGTTACTAAGGTCATGTGACTGATTCCTAATGAACAAACAAAACGCAACAACAAGTGCAGTGGGGAGAACAGGGCTTAAGAGGGATCAGTGTCTGCAGTGAGAGCTCCCTGCAATATACTATGCAGCCACTAGAGGGAGCTGCTAACATGGACATATAACCTTAAAAATAAACAAAACACATTTATGCAAAAGGCTTTTTTTAAAGACAGAAAATTGCTCTGAGTATGATAGTGATTTCATAATGCCACAATAACATCATAATATTACAGGACTGAGACAGAAGCTCGTAGACAGAAGGAACGAAGCTACACCTTTGTGCCAGAAGTTCCTGATCGGGAGGCATCGAAACTCAACCCCAGGTCTGTGAATGGGGGAGAACTCAAACACATGATGGCTGTTGCAACATCAGTGTCATCAGGGTAAAACTAACGACTAAAACTAACTAACCACTCAAATACAGTTTATTCAAACATTTACCCATTCACATAGTGTTACAGTTTCAGTTTCTCTTCGGTTCATGTTCTAGAACAAACATGTTCTCAGCCTTTGGGGTTCATGGTGTTGTATAATGTTGGAACAATGTGTGTTTCCTTGAAGTGACATTTTCTTTGAGTAAAATAGTTTGTTGGAACTGAACTGACCTCCATCGTAGCAGTTGTTTACAGAGAAAACGGTGGGGTTGCTCCCATTGACAGTTTTTTTTTCAAAAATTGTCCCAGGCGGCCCTGCTTGAGAGTACACCGTCTGCAGAAACGAGGGACTTCATATCACTCTGGTCTCTCACTCTGGTCTCTCACTCTGGTCTCTCACTCTGGTCTCTCACTCTGGTCTCTCACTCTGGTCTCTCACTCTGGTCTCTCACTCTGGTCTCTCACTCTGGTCTCTCACTCTGGTCTCTCCCTGGTTTCCCTCTGGTCTGACTCCTCTGGTCTAAATACAGTATCTGGTCTCACTCTCTGGTCCCACTCTCTAGTCTCATTCTCTGGTCTCACTCTCTAGTCACACTCTCTAGTCACACTCTCTAGTCACACTCTCTGGTCTCACTCTCTGGTCTCACTCTCTAGTCACACTCTCTGGTCTCACTCTCTAGTCACACTCTCTAGTCACACTCTCTAGTCACACTCTCTAGTCACACTCTCTGGTCTCACTCTCTGGTCTCACTCTCTGGTCTCACTTTCTGGTCTCACTCTCTGGTCTCTCTCTGCTCTCTCTCTAGTCTCTCTCTGATCTCCCTCTGGTCTATCTCTCTGGGCTCTCTCTGGTCTTACTCTCTCTGGTCTCTCTCTGGTCTGACTTCTCTGGTCTCTCTCTGATCTCACTCTAGTCTCCCTCTTGGACGTACCATTGCTCTTCCGTTGGTATTGCTTGTTATATTCAGTGATGTGCTGAAATCAAATGTAATCCTCTGTAAAAAAAAAAAGAATTGTAGAAAAGTAAATTATTTTACACTTCTACAAGCATTTGTTCCCATTGATATTTCAATATTTATTTTTATGAACCTGTATTTAAACAGCGAGGCCAGTTTAGTCTGACACTTTGAAAACAACTGTCAGAATGACACAATACAATAAAAATAAATGAAGCTGAGGTACCCAACCTTTTTATTCCACATACAGTAATCCCTGTTTATCACCTTCTCAACATAATGATAGTGTCTCCATCTATGTGTCTGTTTGTGTCCATCTGTGTGTGTGTATCTCTGTGTGTGTGTATCTCTGTGTGTGTGTGTGCGTGTGTGTCTATCTCTGTGTGTGTGTCTTACCGATGTGTTCATATAGAGTATAAACATCCCTAAACCACCATCGGCTTTGGTGAACTTGTGATCCGCGGTGGTTTCCGTCCACAAACAAAGGTTTGGGTCTGACTCGTTCCAATATCCTTCAAAGCAGATGTAAGCTTTGGTTCCATCATCACTGCTGCTGATCTGAGAGAGAGAAGGTTATGTCACAAAGCAGAAGAGTCACTACTGTGTGTGTCTGTGTGTGTGAGTGTGTGTGTACCTGCGTGTGTGTGTGTGAATGCATACCTGTGTGAGTGCATGTGTGTACCTGTTTATGTGTGTGTATGCAAGGCAAGTTTATTTGTATAGCACAAATCATACACATGGCAACTCAAAGTGTTGAACAAAACAAGATAGAAACAATCACACAAGGCATTTTAACTGTGTACCTGTGTGTGTACCTGTGTGTGTGTGTGTGTGTGTATGTGTGTGTGTGTGTCACTTACAAACTGCTGGTTGCGCGTTACTGCAAACCATGTCACCGTAGAGTTTACAGTCTCTGGAGCAAGTTGTGCCACTGTAACAGAAGAGATGGAGACATGAGGCAAGTCCACAGTGTGACATCACCACAGTGTGACATCACCACAGTGTGACATCACCACAGTGTGACATCACCACAGTGTGACATCACCACAGAAGCCGATTTGAACATAAGCGATCAGGAGCCAATTTATTTTCGCACATTTGTTCTGCTGAGGTTGCGTGTTGCTAAGGTAGTTGGTTGCTAAGGCAAGCTAGAGTTTCTCCATGAGCGTAGCCATCTGATTGGTCAATCCATATATGGCTCAGATTTTGGGCCGGAAGGTCGTGGGTTCGAGCCCTTCACAGGACCCACTCCAACTGCTCCCACTAATGTCTGCCTACTAATGTTGCCTTGGGCAAGACACTTAACCCCACATTGCTTGAAGCTCCCGCTGAAACACCAAGGCTGTGGCACCATTTCTGTAGCAGCCATCTTCCTGTGGACCCACCCCCTGCAGAGGATCAGCGAGGGACTGGTGCTTTGAGCATTGGGTGGCAGCTATCATTGCCACCCCCCGACCCAGAAATGGACTAATAAAGGGGTTGAAAATGAATGAATGAATAATTATTGTATATCGTTTTTGTTATGTTATTATTATAAGACATTCACAACAAATGCACTGTGATACAGACTGAATGTGATACAGACTGTGATACAGACTGTGATACAGACTGTGATACAGACTGAATGTGATACAGACTATGATACAGACTGTGATACAGACTGAATGTGATACAGACTGTGATACAGACTGAATGTGATACAGACTATGATACAGACTGTGATACAGACTGAATGTGATACAGACTGTGATACAGACTGAATGTGATACAGACTATGATACAGACTGTGATACAGACTGAATGTGATACAGACTGTGATACAGACTGAATGTGATACAGACAGACTGTGATACAGACAGACTGTGACACAGACTTTTGGGGCGGCGCATGTACCTGTCATGTGATTGACAGTCACCAAAACCAGGAGGAGGAGGAGCATGGTGAAGTCAGCTGACACACACTACCCAATCAGACGGAAAAACTGAGAGGAAGCGGCCAATCAGCAGAGAGCTGTGGACAGAGAAATGTGTCAGTCACATGATGCACTGGTCAAAGTACACTAAAACATACAGCTGGGTCAAATGCAGGAGTCAAAAACAATAACACATACAGCTCAGAATCAGAATCAATGTATTGCCATTTGCAGAAAAAACTACATTGGAATATAAACAGGAGACATCGGGGCTTGCACCAACACCACAAAGTACACACACACACACTCACAAATACACAGACAAAAAGAATAAAATAGCGAGACACAGTGAGGCACATATAAAACTCTTAAAAGCATGATTAAGAAACTACGAAGGAGCTACAAAGAGAAGCCGATCCAGGGCGCTCTGTTCAGTCTTATAACCGCCTGAGGCAAGAAGCTATTCGCACGGCGGGTGGTCCTGCACAGTAGGGACTGGAACTTTCTCCCTGAGGGAAGAGGCTGGAACAAGCCCACTCCAGGATGGCCAGAGGAGTCACTTAATCTCAAGGCTCAGGGACAGTAATCGCACCAGCAAGCAGGCTTTCTATGGTGCAGCGGTGAAAGTTCAGCAAGATCTTACAAGTTATTTGTTAATTATCTACGTTTCCGCAGAAAGTTTAGATGCTAACGAGATCTCTTAACAGTATGGTTGGTGTTTTTGTTCCATCTCAAATTGTTGGACAAAGTTAGACCAAGGAACTCCACCTGGGAGTTATCAATGACCACAGGTGAGTGGGAGTGGGAGTGACCACGTCTGAAGTCAAACACCAGTTCACATGTTTTGGATGTGTTCAAGAGGCGGTTGTTGTCTTTACTCCATTTGACAACATTTGTAACCTCTGCTCTGTATGAAGATTTTGTCATTCTCGCTGATGAGACTGATAATGTTGGTGTCATCTGCATAATGGATTATCATATTTGAGTCAGAAGAAGTAACACAGTCATGGGTGTACAATGTGAAAAGAAGAGGACAGAGGTGACCCCTGAGGAGATCCGGTGCTCACAAACGCTACATCTGAGAGACAGCCACCGATCCTAACTCTTGGAGATCTGCCGGTGAGAACGCTGTAAGTCCATTTACACATGGATTCGCACAGGCCGAGGGATCTGAGTTTTTCAACCAGTTTACCTGGGATTAGACAGTTAAAGGCAGATCTATAATCAATGAACAGCATTCTCACCAGAGATTTTGGATTGTCCAAATGACTATAAACACAGAGTTCAGTGCAAAAGAGCGGGTCAGTACCGGAGGGGATCGGGGTTGGGTTTCATAGTAATAATTTCCCGCCTTTTTTCACGTTTTGGGTCAAATACCCTCAAGTGCCCCAGAGAACTGTGCTCCTTTCTGCTCTGTTGTGTGTTTGTGCTGTGCATGTTTGTGTTGTGTGTGCATGTGTTGTCTGTGTGTGTGTGTGTGTGCATGTGTATATTATGTGTTAGTTAAGTTTATTAAAGTGATAGTCTGTAACTCTAAATGAATGAAACATTTTAGGAATGTGTTAAATTGACCTCCTGGCCTTAAATGTTGATATAAAATAAGTAATTTTATTAATTCTAATATTACAGTTTAGTCCCGCCTTCTCTTCTCTTAGCTATAGCTCAGAATCCACGGTACCGTCCACGTTAACCAATCGAGTCATGCCAAGGCCTGTCAATCATCAGCGCTGATGCTCGTAGCTGCTCATGCTCAGTTGTTTGTTTTTGCAGAACGTCCGAATCCAGTCTCATTAGGCTCTGGAACTACATGAAAACTGAACAAAGAATTCTGAACATCTGCGCTGAACCTATATCCATAATCATTTATATACTGAACCTATATCCATAATCATTTATATACTGAACCTATATCCATAATCATTTATATACTGAACCTATATCCATAATCATTTATATACTGAACCTATATCCATAATCATTTATATACTGAACCTATATCCATAATCAGATCCTCTGTACCTCTGTACATGCACCTCTGTGCATGTGTATTAATAATGTATATGTATAATGGGTTATCTGATTAACATTTAAAAGTGTTACGGAAACGTAGGCCAATCAGAAACGAAGCTTGCGTCGTTTTTTCAAATCAAGCACCTCTCTCTCTCTCTTTCTGACAAACTCCAGACAATCACTTTAAGGAAAACCCCTTGAGATTAATCATCTGTCAAGGGGATCCTAAACATAAATACACACATGTAAACATACACACATATACTGTACATACCCACGCTTCCCCGCAGCTTATATTTGGTAGGTGGTCTCCCCTCAGCTAAAATGAATATTAGTCATTTGTGACATAAACTAAATCATTCAAACTTAAATAAACTCAAAGCCAAACCCATCAGGTCACTAAAGTTTTACTGATTGCCCTAACATCAGCTCCTGGATGCAGCTTCACTAATTATTTATTAAATATAAAATATTTTATATAGATTTTTTGATTATTGGATGTAACCTTTCCCTCGCTGTCATCATCGACCTCCTCACCGGCCAGCTACATCTGGTCTCCATAGCCCTGATTCCAGCCACCGTTCCAGCCTTTGGGGGGTGGATATGCATCATAACTCGTATATTAAATTGACTATTGGATATTTGGGATAAAGACAGAATCAGACAGTTGATCACACAGGGCAGGGAGCCAGGACTCTGTGAGGAGTTTATCACTTGCCCTCCCATAATTCGTGTAACTTCTGAAACACGCTCACACACTCTAGCTTAGTCACATGATCTGCAAAGATGCGGTGGCCCTGGTGACTCGATTTCTGTTAAACAGTATGGATATTGCGGTTAAAGATGGGGGGGGGGATGTGTCGAGAAGTTGGGAAGTTGCGTGTTTGGCTGCGCGCTTACGCGCTCTACTCGCACACTCAATCGCACTCTCTCACTCACACACACTCTCACTACTCTCACCATCACACTCATCACTCACCTCACTCCCCTACCTCCCCATATGGTCGTATGTGGGGGGTGGAGCGTTGGCCCTGGGTTGTCGCTGCTTCAATGTGTTTTCTGTTTGTCGGTACCATTGCACTGGGGGAGGCAGGTTTCCCACGTTGGTTGGCGTGGTGCTTGGTATTTTTTTAATATTTAATTGTTAAAAAATATACTCAAAGCCATAATCCACTGAGGATGTGATCCAAGACCTCATTCCGGGATCCGTGCATATCTTATTTATTTGAATTTTTGGGGGTTGTCGGCGGACCTAGGCCTGTGCAGGTCGAGCTGGGGTCCTGGACAGGGGGCTGGAGCAGGGGTCTGGAGCGGGGGTCGGGTGCTGGGCTGGAGGAGCTGTCGTCCTCGCCTTCTTCGTGGGCGTCGGTCGCGCCTACTGATTGCTCGCCTTTTAACCACGGGCGCTGACTTCGGGGATTGCCATCGATCACATACACTTGGTACCTGACCTGGACGGACCAGGTGTGATTGCATAGGTGATTTCATCTTGAGTTGGGGTCTCACAATTGTTCAAATTTCACATTTTGAACATTGTGTCGCTCCCGTATGAAATGACAGTGGGAGTGTTCCCAGGAGCCTGCATGTAAATGATAGTCAAGACTGGGTGGCAAAACGTCAGTGTGTTTTCTCACAATACTTTTAACCCTTGGGTCCAATCACTATCTATCTTAATCACTTTCTGCTGTAGGCCATTAGTCGGCCTCGGTGTGCGGGGATTGGGGTTGAAAGTGCTGAGAGGGGCGTGGTGTTTTTATAACAAGTTGCGTGGGGGCCTAGGGTGGTGCCGTTTGGTCGGGGCCTGATTGGTAAGCTGTGGTTCATGTATTGTGGTCCACAAGCTCTCACGTAATGGATCACATTCGTGTAGTAGACCGGGATGAGGACACCTTGGACGTGAGTGTGAACTGGTTTGTGACGGGGTTCCGACCGGCTCAGGTCAGGCTCAGACTCCTGGCGGATTATATTGATAATATCTGACAGGGCTCTGACCTGGCTCAGATACAGGGGCTTCCGTTCATCAGTAATGGAAAGCGTGTCTGATGCTTGTTTTAGCCGGCCATGTTCCCTGCCGTCTCGATGGGCTTGCTGCAGTGCCTGATGGGTCGGCGGGGGGTGGTCCCTGGGTGGGGCGAGTTCTTGCTGGGTTGGCTGCCGTCCTAGCCTTAGCGCCGGGGTTGCGGGGTGTTGTGGAGAGGGGGGTGACTCAAGAGATGATTGGGGCGCGTACCCCCTATAGGGCTCCGGGACGCTATGGTGTAGTTTGTCACATCGGGTACGTCTTGCCTTAGGATTGCTCATATGGAGTGCCCTCCTGGTTGGGAGCTCCTTCACTTCCGGATGCGTTTGTTTATGGGTCATGGGTTGGGACGAACACGTTTGAGGCGTATGGGGGGGGGCTCATGCGCACTTAAGTCGGCATTAATCGTGCATGCAAAGTCGTGCTTCACTAAATCATGTGCGAAAGACTTATCATCTTTACTCTCTACTCTGATCTCTCTCCTGGGCGCGCACTCGCGGGGCTCTCGCAAGACTTCAGATTAACCGTGGGGGAACTATTTAATTTGGCTGTCAGGAAAAAACCTGTGGCAGTTTAAATATCGTATTGCGCACAGCATTAAGCGGCCTTGGGATCCTCCTAGAGAGAGACCAGAAAAGGGACCAGAGAAAGACCAGAGAGAGGGAAACCAAAAGAGCAGGGAAAAGAACACAGCCCTGTGGACGCCTGGAGTTATTATCCCAGATCAAACTGTGTTACTGACGTATAACTAATCTTATTATAAAGACACGGCACTCTGGCTTTCTGCTCATCATGGGGCAGTCTCAAAAGGTATCAGCTGATACTTATAAAGGTTGAGGTGGGGCTAAAGGAAGACCAAAGTCTCACCTCGTTTAATATGAGGTTAGTAATAACATTGTTGAGCAACCTGCTAAGGCAGGTTTGTTTTGGTTGGTATATAAGACGGGATTGTTGTCTATCTTTTGTTTCATTTTTGGCCCCACCCCGCACAGGGATCTGTGCTTGTCGGATGGGGGTCTGGTGCGACTAGCGTGCCCGTTCGCTAATTGCTAGGTTACTACATTGCATCTGATGGTGTTATTATTGGGTGTGTATTCTTCATTTGGTTGTCTGGTTGCTCTCATAACTTGATTATAATTTTTGTTGGATGGAGTTAGGTATGTATGAATTGATGTAGGACTGTACATATGTATGAACTTATTAGAGGTATTGTTTCAGTTTGAGTTGGTAGCAGGGGATAGCCTAGCCGTGGCTGCGTTCGACTCTCGCCGGTGCTCCACGTTCAGGCTAGGCTTAAACATGTCCTCTTTATTAGCATATGGCTAGAAGGTAAGACGCTGGTTGGGCTTTCGCCGCTGAGTGTCTGTCAAGCTGCAGTAGGAGTCTGTTTGCTGGAGAAGTATGGTTATAGTCCTCTCCGTCCTTCCTTAGTGTTCGTGATTCATTGAGGTGGAGTGCTCTGGATCGGTTCATTGCCCTTCACGCCGGTGTCCCATTGGCCGGGGTCAGGGGAGACGTCGGGACATCTTGACCGGGCCTCCACTCCATCTACACCGGCGGACTGCTCGCCTGTACCCACGGGGATGCTTCGTCGGCTTTGCACTGCGTGGCCTGGTCCTCCTTCCGGGAGCGTGTAGGCCGGGAGCTACAGCCCTTGCCGTCCCGTGTGGACGGATTCCTCCCGCGCTTTGGTATTCGCACCCGAGTTCTCTCTATTTGTCCCCACTGGTACTGGGGTGTTTTTCCGGGCTGGATGCAGAGGGTCGTGTGGGACAGATGAGGGCGCTACTGATGGGCTGTGCTGATGATCCTGACACTTTAACACTATTCTACAACAAGGAGGATTTTTTATACACGGGGTTTCTTTGGCTGTTGTGGGTGGGTGTATTCTCGGTGATCAGCTGATTCGGTGGTGTCGATTTTCGTGGCTAGGGGTGGGGTAATCCTGTAGTGTCTGCGGTTGTGTTTAGGGCTTGACAAGAGTATATTGTATGTATTGTAATGCTTCACTCCCAGTGTTGTGGTGTATGACGGTCTCGGATGTGGATGGTTTGTATGTTCCAGCGTGGCCATCAACGCGTCCGTGTCAATAACGTCTTGTGGGGGGATTGGGGGTTTGGTGGTTCGTGGGAGGGGACAGATTATTGACAGTGCCGTGTTTTTTGGGTATTTTTGGTTAATTTGTTAGTAGGAGGAGGGTTGTGGGGGGGGATGGGGGGGGGGGATTGCCTCTAGGTACTGATCGCTTTTTTTCAAATTATGTTCTGTATGAATAATTGTCCCACTCGTTGCTAAGTGATAGAAGTAGGTGTGTGCATTTTGTAATGATGTGTTGTTGGTGGGGGTAAGGGAATGGGTGAAATGGGGGTGGAGGTGGGGGTGAGTATTTGGTAGGGGTTGTTTGGCATTAAATTGGTAAGCTTACGGTCTATGCTGCATACAAGGGAGTTGGGTGTCTTCAAAACAATCTTTGCCTGGCGCCCAATCCGCGGGGTATGGGGTCTAAGGGTCTTTGGTGGAGTGGGGGGGGGTACTGGGGTGTAAGTCGGACTGAATTTCATGGTGACTGACGGTAGTTAAGATGATCATGGTGGCGTCCCGCTCTGGTTGGTCTTGGCTCGTTGTGTCAGTACTGGCGGGTATAAGTTAGTGTTTAGAGTTGCGTGTCCGCCCAGTTTGGATTGGATATGGGACGGTGAGTGCCAGAGCTGTGTACTTCGGCTTTCGGCACCACATAGGTTCTACTCATAATATTCTGCAGTCCAGGGGCTTTTGCAATTTAGGGTTGAGGTGATTGTCATGCTAATTTAATTAGTTCACCTTAGTTGACCTGTTGCTTCGTGTGTGTTGCTGTGATTGTTCCCAGTGTGGTGTGCTGAGTGTACCTTGACTGTGCTGATAGGGTGTGATGTCGCAACTAGTAGTGATGCCTTAGTTTGCAGTGTGGTGAGGTGTAAGGTAGAGACGTGTGTTGGTGATGGTGCGTGTGTACTAGTGTGTGTACCTTAACATTGTCGTTAATTCTCCGCTGGTATATCACATCGCATGAATCTCATATAAAGGATCCCCGCTATCGGTTACCATACTTTTGTTCGTATTGCCAACTATGTTCCTGGGGCTTTCTCATGGGGCTCATGTCGAGAGCGCGTCAACTTTTATCATTTGGCTAGTTTTCTATGACTCGGGGGGGGGGTATTGGCATTGATTGTGTTTTGTTGTTTATTGCATGGGGCTTCTTTCTTCCTCGGCGCCGCGTCTCCATCGTTCAAATAGTAGTCGCCTCAAAACTGCAAGAATAAATAATTTCATCATTCGTCATCATTGTGTGTATAAGCAGCCCGCATGTATGGGTAAATAACATGGATAATCATTTGTGTGTACTGTGTGTAGAGTGAAGGAGCGTGGGATGTCGTCGCCGCGGCGGGGGTTTGGGGATACGGCATCCATATCGAGATGCGCTCGTGCTTAGTGGAGATGGGCCATTCCACTATCACAGTAGTGGTTTAATGCCGTTATTTCTACAGTTGGCATTGATGCGTCCCCAACAAGAAGTTTTGTGAGCGATCAGTGCGATTCTTTGGGACTTGCAAGAATTAACATACTCATAGGCCATTGGACGGAATGACCACTGCAATGTGTTTCAAATGATTTTCCTTATAGTCCCAGTTCTACCCACGTCCGGAACCCTCCTCGTCAAGAATTCATTCTGTGTAATTATCAACTGGAATGTGTGTATTCGGGGGATTGGCCCATGACGGTAGTGGGGGGTTCCGCCTCCTGCTTCCCTGGTCCTCAGGCGTAGATCCTGACGCGGTCGGTAGACCGTGGACTGAGAGTAAAGTCTTGCTGGGTATTCGTGCTAAAACACCAATCGGGGGGGGGTGTGCAAGGATCACGGACTCATCAGATCTCATGCCCAATTTTGTATAATCTAGGACTCTTTGGTCTATTTTGCTCAAAACGACATGGTTTCCTCTACTTTTTCCCCCGGCGGGGGGGGAGGTGGTGGGCTTTACTATTGCTCTTGTTTCATGATTTTAGTTTTTGAGACTAAAGAAAAGTATACTAAAAAGGCCGTAACCTTTGCATACTTCTCGCAGTAGTGTTAATGGGAGGTAGCGGTACTTCTTGTCTCTGTGCCGGCGGCATCGTGTAGTTTTTAAAATTTTTTGTAAGTACCTGGTAAGGACTGCGCGGTTGTCCACGCAGCTGTCCTTGCTGGGTTCCTGGGGGAGGGAGGCCGCCTGGATATGGAGAGAGACAGGTGGCGGTATGAGATAGACAGGAGTGTGGCCCCGGTCGAAAGAGGGGATAGTGAGACCTCGTATGTGAGAGACAGAGGATCCTATGCTCTCGTGGCTGAGTGGATAGCACGCTCGGCCTCTCAGCAAGAAGGTCCGGGTCGAATCCTGGTTGGTCCAGGGCCTTGCGGAGGGAGGTGAATGGGGCCTCCACCGGGCTGGGGAGGTGGCCGCACGGGCTCCGGGGTGCCCCTTAACACTAAAATGTGGTCATGTGGTCGGGCTGGGCCGCTGTTATGCTTACCCCCTCTCATATCCTCAATTGCTCATTTGTATATCCGCTGGGATACGTCCGTTGGGGCATGAAGTAAGGAGTTTAAAGATTACTTTCTCTGAGGGCTCTGTGATGGCCAACGACCAGCCATTCGCGTGTTTGGGGCTTGTTAGGAGTTTGGGTCGATATGTGTCATCTGTGGTTATCTGTGTGTCGCCCTCTGATTTGACAGGGGGAGGTTTCCCTGAGGCCGGCAGGTAAGGATCATCGTTTATATCTTCATATTTGTTCGCTCACTTTGCTGTTCCCGGTGTCTGGTAGGAACCGAGATCTGAGTCAGATCGTGGTGAGTCCAAGCTCTGGGAGTTGATATGAGGGGGGCTACGCATAGTCCAGGGGGCTGGTGTTGCTGGTCTCTCAAATAATTGCAGGCAGGGGTGTAGATATGTCATGGGGCGGTCACACTCGTAAGACATGTGAATGACACTAAGACTAATGCCTTTGGCATGAACATGGGATTTCTAAACTGAGTCCTTGACGAGGCTTGCATGGTCCTGGCACGTAGCAAATAGAATATCTAATCCGGTCACATAGTTTGGGTCGCATTCACTATCAAAGCTATTTTCAAGTGAGCAATGGAGTCCTATGAGAGGGCGGATCACTGTGGTGCGTGGAATGTGTTGGAACTAGGGTGCAGATGTGGGGTCCGGGGGAGAATTTAAATTTCGATTGCTTATGTTTGTTGTAACGAGGGACTGTTTCTCTGTAATTTATCTGTTTTTCATATATATGTGGTACACATGCGCACTCGGCTAAGGAGCACAGTCTTTTTAGTGATAGGTGGGATGCCCGAGGGTTGAGGAGTAGACGGGTGTGTAGGCTTCTGTAGGAGTGATGAGACGGGAGTGAGCCCTGTACAGGTGATAGACGGGAAGGAATCGGGCGGTGTCATGGCTCACCTGTTCAGAAATGGTTCAGGGACGGGGTTCTATGCGGGCTGCTAATTAGGCGTTTCTCAGGGGGGTCTTCACTAGTTCCTGCTAGAGAACGTCTGCATTTACGGTGGATTGAGCTCATGTCAGTTCTCATTCTTTCATCACTAAATCATCTGTCTGCAGCACTAACACTTCTCTGCTTCCTGCAATAGGTCCTGGTCCACATGAATGTACTATTGGGACCAGAGTTGAACCATAGGAGTGGTCATATTGCACGGGGACAGATATTACGTACAGTCGTTTAACAATCTAAATAGCACAGTCTCTCACTCTGCTATAGGCTGCTTGCAGGGGCATCTCATAAGTGATCAGCGAAACTTAGATAGTTTTGAGTTTGCACCATAATCTAACCTGAGAATTTATAAAATCATTTGCAATGTGATTGGCTTGGTTCATGTGGTCTCTAATGTGGGCATTGAGGTTTGGTCGGAACTTGAAGTAGGTTTGGTGTGTGGTAATTATACCGGGGTGTTATTATGGTTGTACATCTAAAGGACTAAGGCACGGTGAGCATGTTTTGTATGTAAGGTGAAATCACTTTCTTTACTGATGGTGTGGGTGCTGTTAAGATGGGACCTCACATGGCTGCGGGTTTATATATGCAACCCTCTATGGTCTTTGCCACAGCTTCCTAAGTGGGCACTGCTGGGTGCCCTTTCGCAGCTGCCTTGCGCGATACTATCCGCTGTGTACAAAGCTGACTGGTAAAGCTGACTAAAAAGGGTATTAGTGCTCTTGGTGTAAAGGGCTGTTAATTGTGGGAACAAGTGGGTGTCACCCTTCGGCTCCATGTGCCCATTTGTTTTATGCGTGCTGGCTGACAAATAATGTAATTAATCATTACAATAAGTTAAAGGCTTCCGGACAAGCATCAATCAATTTCTTTTTTGTACTCACATCTTTCGACTTTGCCGGCGCCCTGAGACGGGTGGTGTGGAGAAGACATATGAGGATAAAAGAATTTGATGTGTTATGTATAATGCACTTTACATTTCAAGGAATAGCTCTGAGGGCGATCTGTCTGTTACTGCCCCCTAAGTTATACCACCATATATGTGAGGGATAATGATCAATTGTGGACTATTTCCTGCAAAGTTCTCCTGATTGAACTACTGTTTTTCTTAACTACACGTCTATAGAAGGGCCGGGGTAGATATATGGGCGTTCTGGGCGCCTCTCTGGGTGGGCCCTGGGTCGGTGGGGAGGGGAATTTCATGGCCGGGGGGTACTGTACGAATGCCTGGCGGCCTGGTGGAGGGCTGTGGTCCGGGTTGTGCTGGCTGTGGGGTGGAGGTGGCTACGGAGACCGTGGGTGACGGGGTGTGAGGTAGTAGGGGGCTGGTGGGTTGGCTGGGGGGATGGCCGGGGGGGCATGGTTGTGGGGAGAGGCAGTGTTTATTACTGTATGTCGGGTTGGATTGGCACCTGTGGTTGAGTGAAGTCGGGTGTGTATGGCTGTTGGTGCCCCTCAGCGGACAGGATAACCCGGCTGCTCTGTTACGGATGGTGCTGGGGGGTTTGCTAGTCGTTGGGGCGGGGTCCCCCAGTCGTCTGGTTTTGGCATGTATCAATACCCTGGTAGGTGTATTTAGGCATGGATCACGTTCTCTCGCATGGTTGTGATGTAGGGGGGTAGGGGCGTGGCGCGGCTTGTTGGTGGAGGGGTTTGGTAGGAGACTTTACAGTTGCTGGAGGTGGTGTAACTGTATATTAGAGGTATGCCTGACTCCGAGGTTTTATACAGAGGGGGACATGGGATGGGTATGCCAAAAATGGTAATCTCTGCGTGGGTGGACGGTTCTCCTGCCTACTCTCTGTGGAGTTGAGAGATTTGTCAGCCTTAGGCAAGGGCATGGCAAGGGTATTGGTGAGTGCACAAGTCATACACACATGGCTTTTCCATAGCGCGGTACTAATAATAAGAAAGCATGAAAATTAGATATATCCCCTGGGGTATGGCACAGCTGAAACAGATACTTCGTATAACCCAGGATTTAAAACATGGTCAGAGTGAGCCTGTCTCACTTCGTCAGGATACGTTCCAGAGGTTTACTGAATGAATCGGAAATGGGCTACCTCCCCTATGTTTGTGCGGTACTCTGGGGCCACTACAGTGACCTAGCACCGTGCTCCGACAAGGCCGGATGGGCAGCATGGTAATAACTGGTCTCGTATTGTATTTTTTGGGGCGTGGCCTGCGGGTGTTCGGGTTCTCTACTGAGAGTGTTTATGTCTAGTCTCTGTGCCACAGGATAGCCAGTGCTGGGACCTGAGGACTGGACGAATGTGTCGTACTTCCTGTTCTAGTCTGGACTCGTAGGCGGAGGCTGGGAATGTATACTGCTCTGTGTGTCAGCCGGTGTGGATCAGTCCTGGGGAGCTGGCCTTTGCAGGAGGCTTTCATTATGATACTATGGGCATGGTGTAGTTGCTCCATTGTCGCGTGTGCACGATGGTGGTTGGAGCCTGGTAATGGTTGGGTAGAGGGATGTATTGCGACGGTGGGTCTGTTGGGGTGGGCTTATATGTTATGGTAAGGCGGGGGCCAGTTTTATCCCCGAGAGTTCGGATCCGGGTTGGGATGGTGTGTAGGGGGTGTGTGTACGGTTGTGTCTGTAGGACGCTCGCGCGGGGGGCTGGGTCCTAATTCTTGCTGGGCAAGTGTGGTGGGGGGTGTGCGGGTCGGATGGTTGGTGGTTTTGCATCCTCCCACTGATCGTGGGATTAATGGTAATGGAGGGTATGTTCCCTCTGGCCTGTGCGCACTGCAAGGATGGGTGTCTGTGTTCGGTTCGGCTGAATAGGTTAGGAGTGTCACGGGTGGAGGAGGTTGAACAGGTCCTAACGCAGCCTGGTTCGATGTAGTCATTGTGGGGCCCTTGCGGTACCTGGGGGACTCCTCAGGGCTGGCAGTGTTCGGAGTCACAGGGTCCAAGCTCCACATTGAATGCCTGGCATCATTGGTTGCGTGAGCATGGTCCGACAGGTGTCCAAGGAAGCTCGCTGTTCTAACAAGAGTATGATAGGAATTGTGCACGGCGGCAGGGGTCTCCGGTATTTCGGGTGGATACCGGATAAGGATGCTCGAACGGGTCGGTTAGTGTCGGAGGAATAGTACCGAATAGCTATCCATGTCCATGTAGTGCGAGTGGTTATTCGTCCGTGTGCTAGAATAAGTAGCGCTGTTTTGGGGCGGGCCGGTCATGGTTTTGGCGTGCGTTGGGGATGAAACTAGAAGAGATTGTGTGGTCGGGGGTCGCAGTGTGTTACTTGCATCAGCGCTCCAGGAGCCCCCACTTTCCGGAGAAAGCTCCAGGGCCGTAGCTACAGACAGATGAGTTAGCTCTACTTGCCGAGGTGCGAACCTGATACGTGTCTCGTCCGGCGGGCACCGGTACTGGCTTAATCTGCGAATCTGCCCTGCCTAATGGTTTGTATCGGGCCGCCGAATTCCCGGGTCTTGCGTGCTATATGGGCCACACGCTGCCTCGGGAAATGCCATATACATGGTTTTTCCTTATGAGAGGCTAGCTCCGGTTCACTCTGGTGGTGGTGTGGGGGCGATAGCTTACGTGGGTCGAGGGGTGCAGATAGAGCGAGGCCAGGGGTGGGGCCCGGCTGTGGCTAATAGCCCTTAGGGCTGGGTGTGCAGCTTTATCCGAGAGCAGGCTCTGCTGTGGTGGGTTCGTATGCCGACGGATTACTGATCATTCGGTGGTGGAATGTATAAAGTATGCGTGGAAACGGGTGGAGTCTACTTTCTCATGGACTTTCCCCATTACTTGGCAGATTTGAGTTGGGATCGATGTTGTTATGTACCGGGTGCTAGCCTTAGGCGCGGTGGTGTGGCAGGGCCTGATGACTGGGCTGGGGCCAGGCCGGGGGGTCATGTCCTGAAGATTGGGTATTTCCACCTGCCGTTATCTCCTCCTACTAAGCTGGTAGTGCAGATCGGGTGATCTGGGGGAATGGTGTCCTTTGCTGTATTTGGGGGGGTGATGACATACGTCATGGGGTTTGTGTTTGTGGTGGGTGGTTGGTGTGTATCCATTGTGGGTGCATTTGTTTGGGGTTTTTAGGGCGGACGTGGTACGGAAGTGGGAGGGGTCGAATCTTGTGATCTAGGGATGGGTGTTGTTGGGTCTTCCAGGTTAGGTGCGGTGGAGGGTCAGGGTGTTACTTGGAAACCTTTTGTTGTGGAGTGTGTTTGCCTATTTCGATGTTTATATTGGTGGGGGGGGAGGTCCATCGGTTGCATTTGCTGCTGTCTAGTTGGGAGTGGGTAGTTGTATTTTGGGGTCACTGTCACGTACAGGTGGTGTCGTTATGTAGCGGTCCAGGGGCTGGCGTTTACCTTTTGTTTTTCTGCACATAAATGGTTCCTATTTTGTTTGTTTCGAAATTGGCCATGGTCAGATATATCGTGCTCTTTCGGCTGAGGCCGCTTAATGTCTTTTATAGGATTAGTGTTCTTGTGTCTCTGTTTATGGCCTATTGATGGTGTATGTTGAAAATCAATCATGTAGAAATTTACAAGATTTTTTTTTTGGGACAAAGAATATGTAGTACTAAATGTCCGGTACCCAGCACTACTCACAGAATAGAAATCTGTTTAATCTTTCAGTCTTCTCTCTGAGCTTGCTGCACTTTTCGTTCATAAAATATCTTTTCATTTCTGCTCTGAACACCACTCATCAGCCCAAACACGATCTTTTGCTTTCAATCCCTTCGAATAAGCAGAGACGGACACAGAGCAGTGGTTACGCCCCCTGTGGGAGTGCATTGGTAATAACTTTATTGCAAAAATACAGGTCCCCTCTTTCCCCACAGTTTCTTTCGGCCTTAGAATAAACTCCTATCTCTTTCTGTCACATTTACATTCAATAAATCGCTCCGGTTCGTTGCTCTGAAATCTTTCCCATCTTCTCGTTGCAAAAAAGTTCACCAGCGAAGTCAAAAATATCAGTTTTTTCTTGTCTTACGCCTGTCGAATGAGGGGAAAAGGTTTTGCATAGCGGACTCATGCGCTACCATTGGCTACATTCTCTCACATACACAATAAAGATAACGCAATTAAAACAAAGTATACAAAAAAAATCAATTCAAAAGCAATTATGTGTTTTAAATAAGTGCCCACCCTTTGGTTTCATCTCAGTCGGTTTGCGCATCGGCCGGTAGCGGTATTCAAACAGTTTTTTAAAGCAGAAAGACAAAAATGTTACTCGGAAAACGGGGGGGGGGGGTTAGGGTTAGGACAATCTCTGGAGAAGTTAGCGGAAAGTATAGTCGTCGGGATATACTTGTCGAAAGCTAAGCAGACTTTGGGTTTTGGAGACAGAGAAACAAAGAGAGGAAACGTGAATGTGAAACGGTAAGTGCCACTGGAGGTCACCTGAGGCCTAAGTCAAAAAGCCCTAATCTAAAAGCGCTCCAGGGACAAGGCTGTGTTGGGGTTTCACAAGTGGGAGACGAGAGGAGACTTGTGGATTTGGGAAACTGTTGCTGTTTAAGACATCCACAAAAAACAGTAGAGAGGGAGACTAGAGAGAGAGAGACAGAGAGAGATCAGAGAGACAAGAGAGAGATCAGAGTGACAAGAGAGAGAGAGGGACAAAGAGAGAGACAGAGAGAGATCAGAGAGATAAGAGAGAGAGAGAGAGACAAAGAGAGAGACAGAGAGAGATCAGAGAGAGATCAGTGATACCCCTGAAAGACAAGAGAGAGAGAGAGAGAGAGACAGAGAGGGGGCCAGAGAGTGGCCAAAGAGACCAGGGAGAGAAACAAAAGACCCAAAAGAGAGACCAGAGAAAGAGAGAGAGACCAGAGAGAGAGAGACAGAGAGAGAGAGACAGAGAGAGAGAGAGACCATAGAGAGACTAGAACTGGTCTGATTTTAGGATGACTGCTCAACCATAGGCAAATGAAGTTTCCACCAGCCCTACATGGAGAGCCCTTCTCTACAATACTCTACTACTCCACCATGACAACTGTTGCTGTGGTTTTTACTAAAATGAATAGAATTAGAGAGAGTAAACCAAAGACAGGTAGAAGCCATAACTACACAACTCTTTCTTGTCCTGCCCACAAGTCTCCCCGCAAACCCACCTAAAAAAACCCCCAAACCGCGTCTCTCAAACCCCTCTGCTTTTATTAAATAAAAAGTGCACTTCAATCCCTCGCTCCGTCTGGTCGCAAAGCCCTCGGGTCGTCCAGCCCCAAACGAGAGAAACAAAGAAATCGCAACAATGATACATTCTCTCACGGATACGAGACTTGTTGCTCTCTCTCTCTCTCTCACGAAATGCTACACACGTCTGGTCAAAGGTACAAACTTGAGGACACAGGCAGAGAAAGAACGAGGAAGCTCTTTATAATCTCCCAGTAGAAACGGGAGAGCATTTCGGCGGCGTTGGGGGGGGTGGGGGTGGGGGTGGGGGGTTAATGTCACTGCCCCAATTTGCGTCATCAACTTCACAGGAAATCACTTTTAGTATGATGTATTGATTTGTTTTGGATGTGTTTCTGCTGCTGGACACCTGCAGTTCTCCAAAATTATCCATCTATCTCTCTGTCTCTATCTTCCTACATCTCTATCTATCTATCTGTCTATCTAGCTTTCTATCTCTCTCTCTCTCTCTATCCATCTTTTACCTTAATACTTCACCCCCATTGCCTAGAATGAGTCTGGTGTGTGTGAATGGTTTGTGGTGGTGGTTAGAGGGACCGATGGCACAAACTGGTAGCCCTGCTTCTGTCAGTGTGCCCCAGGGCAGCTGTGGCTACAGTATTAGTAGTATGGCGTGAAAGAGTAACGTGTCTTGAGTGTCCAAAACAGCACTATTCAAAACAGATGCATTATTAGTGGAACTTATCAAGCACATATTCTGATCTGTTTTTGACGCAAATAGGGAAGTGACAAGGAACAAGAAAAAGGAGACTCCGGCTCGACACTTGTGAAGTGCAGACATGAGGAAGTACCACTTTAAAGTTTAGCAATATTCAGTAATTATCAACATTCCATAAGGTCTTATTATTAACATACAGGTTTCATACATGAGTTTATCTGTACATTTTTAGACAGTTCAGTTCAGCGGGTTTTACTGTGCGCACACGCGGAAAGAACAAACAAAAATAAATCCCAAAATTTTAAAGAAATTCTCAAAAATATGGCTGTCCATCTGGAAACAGTTCGGCTACGTGTGCGTCCAATATAATAGGAAATGCCCGTGAAGAGGAAGAGGCGTGGCTACTTGAGGGCCCTCCCCCCTTTTTTCGCTGAGGGTCCGATGAGGGACAGGTCCAGGACGCCATGTTGGGACCCTCTTGGGGGGAGGAGAGAGAAAAAGCAAGTCCTGGGAGTTGGAGAGAGGGTGACTGCATAGACAGAGTATTGGGGACGAAAGGGAAAGCGGCTAAAGCGTATGTGCGCAAGACCCCTACAGGCGAAGCGTGGCAACTACAAGATCATGTTGGGTGAAAGAAAACAAAACAATTTGGAATGAAATGAAATGATGAACAGGTTTAGAGCTGTGAAGTTGCATTTCGAAAGCGCTCTCATTCCACAGTCAAAGTTTTGCTTATGGTCAAGCCTGAATTTCACTATTTTGTTTATCAAATGCATACGTCTTTGTTAGATTTTTACCTGAAAAAGCTTTCATTCAACTGTGTTTAATGAATAACTCCGTGCGATTTCTTCTGAGAGGATTTCCCTGGTTCTACTGGTGAACCTGGTCTAAGCTCCTACATACTTAATGCACTTGTATATAGTTTTTATTTTATTTTATATACATGTTCTTTATATACATGTCAAAGTAAATTCTTCTGATTGTGATTCTAGATAAAGCAGTGGTTGTTTTCAGTAAGAAAATCAAAAATTCAAATGTGGCCAAATCTGGTGAGAACTTTGCGGTTTCTTTAAGATCAGACACAGCGGTTAAGATATTGTCATTATTCTCTGCATTACTGGGCAACAACGAAACAACCTTTTTTCAGCTATTTATGCACCTTGGTCATCCGCCACTTATGGACCAATAGCTCTACGTCATTGTTATCGTTGCATTTCTTGTGTTTGAACGGTTTGTGAATAAGGGCAATGCAAAAATACATTGAATTGAATTGATCTTTCGTATTTATGCGGAATCGTTCTGGGGAAAGACGTGTAAAGGTCTGAGATGTTTAATTCCAGAAACTGCCATTTGGGGGCAAACTTCGCAGCTCCAAAAGACACGTGCGTTTCAAAAGAACCAAAAGACCAAGGCAGAATGAAAAATAGACTGGTAGAAGAAGAAATTACATGGTTAGATGGGATGAGATGGGATTTAACCCCGTAGCACCCTCAAATATGCAACATTCATTTAAAATGGCAGGGCAAAAGAAGTGTGACTTTTAGATTATATGCCTACTTCTTTATTAAGATAAAGTCAGATATTTTGCTTTTATACTTGCTTCTTTTTTATGCTAAGCTAGAGATTTCATTTGATTTCATTTAGCCATAGACTTATTATTTATTTATCTTGTGCTGTGAGCTCCTCATTCCTACTGTTCTATAACTGGTAATGCAACACTGACATTTCCCCACTGTGGGACGAATAAATTATCTCTTAATCTTAATCTTTTGGATTTAAGATTAACTATTGTATGTACCCAAAAGGCCAGATAAGCTAATATGCTACAGTACCATTGAATGCTGCTTTCCAAAAATCACACAGGTCATTTTCTTCAATAAATATGTTTTTTTACGGTCTGGGTTCTACGGGGTAAAAAAATAAATAAATAAATAAATATATATATATACAGTAGATTCTCTCTCAAATGGATTCGATGTGTCACAAATGAGGACAGTAGGGACCAAACCAGGGTGAGTGAGATGATTTTGTAGTTGTGACGCTCTGCTTTGAGACAGTGGCTGGATCCAGGGGTCAGCTGGTTGGGGGTTGGTCTTCAGAGGACAGTCCCAGCAGCAGCAGCAGCAGCAGCAGGAGGAGGTGCAGGAAGAGGAGGTCATCAGGAGGACATCAGGAGGACATCTGGAGGACATCTGGAGGACATCAGTGGAACAGCGTGGGACTCTGGTCTGAGGACAGTTTGACGCCCGTGAGACAAAGCCAGAAACTCCCCGCGCCGCCAGACAGCTCCTGCAGACACAGGACACCAGTGAGGAACGACAGGTACACTAGGCCTGCAACAATACACATGTAGACACCAGTGGCGGCTGGTGGAATTTTCTACTGGGGGGGCTATGAATATGATGACTAGATATATACCAGCAGTAAGTTTACACTGACTGTTGTGACTGAAGCCTCAGTGAGGCTTCAGCCTCACTGAGGCTTCAGTCTGTGGTGCATTTAATGCACCACAGAATTTGACACAGTCTATTATTTTTGATAGGATGTGCCTATTTTTGTCAACCTCCTCATTGTGCTTTCTGATCTCTACCCAGTAGCTTTCATCCAGCTGGGATGAAATATTTATCTTCCCAAACATAGCTAATTTGAGGGCATTTTGCATGTGGATACCAGTCTGCTCATGCTTCTTTGCCTTTTCTAAAAAGTGCTTCAGATCAGTCATACCTGTCTTGATCCATGCTGGGTCAGATCCTGATGTTTGAAACAAGAGGCATGGAAAGCAAAATAAAGCATTAGCCTCGCTACATGCTGCTAGCCAAGATTTGGCGCTGAACCAGGTCCTGGAAAAAGTACGAGTGTACCGTCTCCCCCTGTCGCTGGACTGCTGACTAATGGTAATATTTGGCTGATCAGGTCCAAGCTCTTTAACCTCAACCTTCTCCTGGTATGATCTTCTCTCAAACGGTATTGTTTTGAGTGATCTAACTGAATTATTCTTTTTCTCGTTCTCCATTTTGCGTCTCTTTACGTTCGTCTCAAACTCCCACAGCTTGACCTGTCAATCACTGTAAACGGACGTCACAGACAGTGACAGTACAGGTCGCGGGCGATCCCGCCCCCTCAGGGCGCACTTCTCCTGCGCCCCCAAATCGTCTTATCTCTTGCATTGAAGAGGAGCTACTGCGCATGTACAACTTTTAACGAGAGTCCATAGACAGCTCAGGGCGCAATCTTTTGCGCCCTGAGGCGGAAATACGTCCTCAGTCCGACACAGACAACGCTGATGAGCTTAATCAATCCAACTCAGCATAAACTATAAAGTATTTCTTCCACATCTGAAATAAAACACACATAAATTTGGAAATATTTTAATGTTATTATTTTTTTTAACGTTTTATTCAAGGTAACATGGCAAGTTGTGAGTGGTGGGGCGGCGCCCTAGCGCCCTCTATTGGCCGGCCGCCACTGGTAGACACTTAGAGCCTTAGTCCTACTCTACTCTACTCTACTCTACTCTACTCTACTCTACTCTACTCTACTCTACTCTACTCTACTCTACTCTACTCTACTCTACTCTACTCTACGAGTGTGAAAATATATCGATATGGTGGTATCGTGATACTTTCTATATGATTTTGCTCAGTATCGATATCATTGTCAGCCATTAACGTGTTAATACGTCACTATTTTTTCACTGTTTTCATGCTCCAGATGACTTTTATATCTAATATGTATGGGGATTAGTTTTAGAGCACATTTTATTGAGCCAGCAGGTGGCACCAGCGCTGCCTCTGGATGTTTTGAAAACTTGTTGCGCCTTTTTTTCTCAGTTTTTTGTCTGAGACTGGTGATTTCAGTAAAACTTCCCTCTACTTAACTGACCAATATATCAATAATCGCTGCATTGTCATATCGTAAGATAAATCGCTATTGTGAGCTTTGTATCGCACATCGTATCGTATCGTGACCTGAGGTTCCCACCCCTACTCTAGTCTACTCTAGTCTATTATACTCTACCTTTTGGTCCCCGGAGAGAGCAGAAAGAGTCCAGAGAGAGCCCAGAGAGAGCCCAGAGAAAGTCCAGAGAGAGACAGAGAGAGACCAGAGAGAGACCAGAGAGAAACTGAAGAGAGACCAGAGAAACCAGAGAGAGACCAGAGAGAGAGACCAGAGATATAAACCAGATATTGTGTATAATTTTTCATTAGAGCAAAAATTAGGATTAAAAAAATTATATACAGTGCCTTGCGAAAGTATTCGGCCCCCTTGAACCTTTCAACATTTCGCCACATTTCAGGCTTCAAACATAAAGATATAAAATTTAAATTTTTTGTCATGAATCAACAACAAGTGGGACACAATCGTGAAGTGGAACGAAATGTATTGGATAATTTAAACTTTTTTAAACTCACTCCAGAAGTTCAGTGAGGATCTTTGAATGATCCAATGTTGTCCTAAATGACTGATGATGATAAATAGAATGCACCTGTGTGTAATCAAGTCTCCGTATAAATGCACCTGCTCTTTGATAGTCTCAGGGTTCTGTTTAAAGCGAAGAGAGAACCATGAAGACAAAGGAACATACCAGGCAGGTCCTAGATACTGTTGTGGAGAAGTTTAAAGCCGGATTTGGATACAAAAAGATTTCCCAAGCTTTAAACATCTCAAGGAGCACTGTGCAAGCAATTATATTGAAATGGAAGTAAGTAAGTAAGTAAGTAATCTTTATTTATATACCGCCTTTCACAGACCAGAGTCACAAAGCGGTTTACAATTGTTATTATTTTTGGGCACTTGTCACAGAGATGGGAGCGGGGGTCGCCAGTACAGGAGGTGCATGCTAGACCTATTGTGCATGTTTTTAGTGGTAGGGGAAACCGGAGTACCCGGAGGAAACCTACGCAGACACGGGGAGAACATGCAAACTCCACTCAGAAAGGCCCTGGTCCGGCCGGGATTCGAACCCAGGACCTTCTTGTTGAGAGGCGAGAGTGCTATCCACTCAGCCACCGTCCGCCGAAGGAGTGTCAGACCACTGCAAATCTACCAAGACCCGGCCCTCCCTCCAAACTTTCATCTCAAACAAGGAGAAGACTGATCAGAGATGCAGCCAAGAGGCCCATGATCACTCTGGATGAACTGCACATAACTACAGCTGAGGTGGGAGAGTCTGTCCATAGGACAACAATCAGTCGTGCACTGCACAAATCTGGCCTTTATGGAAGAGTGGCCATTTCTCAAAGATATCCATAAAAAGTCTTGTTTAAAGTTTGCCACAAGCCACCCGGGAGACACACCAAACATGTGGAAGAAGGTGCTCTGGTCAGATGAAACCAAAATCGAACTTTTTGGCCACAATGCAAAACGATATGTTTGGCGTAAAAGCAACACAGCTCATCACCCTGAACACACCATCCCCACTGTCAAACATGGGGGTGGCAGCATCATGCTTTGGGCCTGCTTTTCTTCAGCAGGGACAGGGAAGATGGCTAAAATTGATGGGAAGATGGATGGAGCCAAATACAGGACCATTCTGGAAGAAAACCTGTTGGAGTCTGCAAAAGACCTGAGACTGGAGACTGGGACGGAGATGTATCTTCCAACAGGACAATGATCCAAAACATAAAGCCAAATCTACAATGGAATGGTTCACAAATAGACGTATCCAGGTGTTAGAATGGCCAAGTCAAAGTCCAGACCTAAATCCAATCGAGAATCTGTGGAAAGAGATGAAGACTGCTGTTCACAAACGCTCTCCATTCAACCTCACTGAGCTCGAGCTGTTTTGCAAGGAAGAATGGGCAAGAATTCCAGTCTCTCGATGTACAAAACTGATAGACATACCCCAAGCGACTTGCAGCTGTAATTGCAGCAAAAGGTGGCGCTACAAAGTATTAGCGCAAGGGGGCCGAATAATATTGCACGCCCCACTTGTTAAAAAAGTTTAAATTATCCAATACATTTTGTTCCACTTCACGATTTTGTCCCACTTGTAGTTGATTCTTGACAAAAAAAAAATAAGTTTATATCTTTATGTTTGAAGCCTGAAATGTGGCGAAATGTTGAAAGGTTCAAGGGGGCCGTATACTTTCGCAAGGCACTGTATATTTGCACATACAAGTATCCTTTGGGGAGCTATTTTGAAGAGGGTGGTGAGCTACTGGTTGGAGATAAAGATAAAGGAGATAAAGGTTGGAGACCCAAGCTCTATGCAAACTCTATAATGACTTCCAGATGCACTGCTTTCCCCCGGCTTTAACATATGTCAGATTGGCAACATTTCACCTTTAGTTCTCTGTGCAGGGATTACAAATCAGGAAGTAGCATTTTGCAAATAGGGGCTTAGCCTACTTCAGCAGCAGATCAGCACGTTAAAACATCGCCTCGTGTGATCCCATAAACCCAGACTGAGAATATTCAAATTTCAGTTTTTGAATATATAAGTGATGGGTTACCTGTAGGCAGAGGAGTGAAGTGGTGATGAGGAGGTGGTGAAGATGATGGGAGGTGATGGATTGTTTTTTTTGTTATAAGCGATACAGTAGGTGCTCAGAGCAGAGGGAACGGACAAGGAGAGGCACTGACATCGGCCTGCTTCACCTTAAGGAGAGGAGACAGTGTGGGAGGAGGAGAGACAGCGGGGGAGAGAGAAGCATCGTGGGTAAAGAGCAAGTAATGACAGCGGCACACAGAAAAAATACAAAAATATGACAAACGCATGAAGAGAATTGTGTGAGTAGAGTCTGGGAACAGGGTTAGTGACTGTATATAATCGACTGAGTTGTCTGAGTGTGTGTGTGTGTGTGTGTGTATGTGTGTGGTGCTGACGTCACCATAGTGTTAGCCTTAATGACCCTGATTTGAACATAAGCAAGCTGGAGCCATTTTCCTTTTCCTTACCTTAATAGTGACTAATAAGGCTTTTACAAAAATTATAAGATGAAGACAGCAGTTGTGGGCAGACTTGATTGCAATGTTTTACTTTTACAAGAGCTGCAGTAGATTCAAAATGCTGCAGCGCGAGTCCTGACTAGAACCAGGAAGTATAATCACATTAGTTCAGTTCTCAGGTCTCTGCACTGGCTTCCTGTGGCTCAGAGAATAGACTGAGGAGCACCAGCCTCCCGCTGAGAAGCCAGAACCTGTGGTGAGGCAGCAGTTCAGACATCCATCCATCCTTTTTCTTCCCCTTAACCCATGTCTGGGTTGGGTGGTGGCCTTTAGCTGCCACCCAGTTCACAGAGCACCAACCCCTCCCTGATCCTCCTGCAGGATGGCTGATCAGTGAGAACATAGCCTTGATCTTTCAGGGTGGGTTCAGGCAAAGTGGAGTTAAGTGTCTTGCCCAAAGACACAATAACAGCGGACATCAGTGAGAGTCGATGGGGAAGGTCTTCCAACTCAGCATCTAAATCTGGAACCATTTTCCTGAAAATGTGAAACAGGCTTCTACTCTGACAATGTTTAAATCCAGGTTGTGGTGCATACAACTGAAGGATTTTATCTTCACTCACTCGAATGTACTGCGATTGTGATTTGAATTTAAAGTTAAGCACTTTGAGTTTCTTTGTATATGAACTGTGCTATATAAATAAACTTGCCTTCTCTATTATTTATGAAACAAAAAAGCACCCCAGCTTTAGCATCTACAAATCAATTTCAGATTGTGTGTTTTAAATGGATCATTCTATTTTCCCTTCATTCACACAACATGATGATACATGAGATCACATGCAGTCCTACTGTGAACCTCCGGGGGGCAGTAGACACTCACAAAGCTGCGTGTGGCGGTGAGCCGGTGCCGTCGCGAGGAGGAGACCACGGTCCCGCTCAGGCTGCGTCCAATCCTCCGCACGCCCTCGCCGTCCTCAGGCCCCGCCCCCATTGCCCCAGCACCAAACGCCATTGGCTGAAAGAGAGGCACACGTATGTCAATCAACAAAATGCACAGAGAAGAGTCAAGGCCAAAGTCACAGACGCAGAGGGAGGAAGAGAGAGAGGTTTGTAAAGACCGAGTATATCACTGCTGTGTGTTGGATTTTATTACTATTAAAGCTGGGGTACATGAATCCCAGACCACACACAATGGAACTGACAAATACAATCTATAAATCAGACCTCTATCACTAGTTTTAATATATTTTTTTACCTCTGTCACATCTTAAGATCAGATTTTTATGACAAAAAATTCAAAAAAGAGAGGACCACCTTCACTCGGCCAATCAGCTCTCAGCCCAAAATCAGCAAATAGTGACTCACAAGGCTCTTTCTCGCCACACTTTTTAACCCAAAGTACAAAACTAGTCCAATATAGTGTAGTAAATTTGGATGAAATCAAGTGGTGCTAGTTCTGCTTACAAATAAATCTGTTGAAATGTCTGCTGAAAATCTTCTAATAATGCGCTTTAATTACACTAGAATTAATTCCCCATTATTGAATATCTCAAAAATTCCCCAGCTCAACTTCCCATAAAAAATATCTGGACACTTTCCAGATATTTACCAAAAGTTTTCCCCCTCCTTTTGCAGCCCCATCCCCATCCCATGTTTGTCCATTATCCAGAACCAAATACTGTTATTTCTACTGAGAATACGAGATGACTGTGGCTGGTACCTTGTTGAGGTAGGTGGGGGTGCACGTGCAGTCCGCCCCATACACAGTCCTCTCCATTTCAGCGTTGGGGGTCTTCGAACGAGCCGGCCCGCCCACTCGAGAAATCAGCCTCTCCGACGGACTGCACACTGAAAACACGCAAAAAATATCCTTGAGAATTACCTTTCCCGATCCTCCCGCTTCATGCTATCCATCACACTTACACAACCAAATATGAAAATGCAAGAGGCGATCTTTTATACTTCCACCGCCTCAGCAAATGAAGACCTCGCCTTCGTAAGGGCCATCCATCTGCTCGGATTGGACTGGAATTAATCATTGGAAACTTTGAGTCGAGAATGAATCGCGAAGTTGAGTGAGTTAATAAAGACAAACCAGAGCAGAGGGAGCGGGAAGTCGACTGGTACGCAATTCTATATGGTCCTGCCCGCAAGACTGGATTTGAAATGAATGCCCCAGAAATTATTTTCAATGATTATTACAGTAACTATCCGGAAAACACATTTAAATTTGTTCTAATTTGAGCAACTAACTAACATAACAAATTAGAAGTTAAGTTAGGGCAAAGATTTATTTTTCTATATTTAACTATGAATCTTCCAACTAAAATGAGTTTGAAACCTCTTGTCTAACAGGATTATATCACATCTAGTGTTGCTTATGACCCTGAGATAAAAAAAAAATCTTTCCTCTTCACTTTAGGCAACTTCACTCGAGAGTCCAGCTTTTTGTTTGTACTTTTGAGACATTTAAAATAGATTAAAATGGTCACAAATGTAAGTCCTCAATGGTAAACACATTATCATTGGTACCTGTCCTGCCCGCCTGCAGACTGGCCTGGTACAGCGAGTCCAGCTCGGTCAGCTCGGCCTCCTCTCCGTGGCCCGGTGCATGCTGGGAGTTGTAGTGCCCGGGGGAGGACTGACAGCTGTGTGCGTGGGGGGGCTGCGAGGGGCGAATGGTGTGACAGCGATCTGGGGGGGTCTCGTAGGGCGTCACCACGGCGTCCGGACGGTCCAGGCTCCAGGACGACCAGTGCCGCGTGGCCAGACCTGTCGCCATGGGAACAGACCCCAGGGCATCAAACTATGATAGGGAGAAATATGGTGGTGATATTTAATACCACCCTATGTCTCTGTCTCTCTGGTCTCCCTCTGGTCTCTCTCTGGTCTCTCTCTCTCTAGTCTCTCTCCCTGTTCACTCTTTGGTCTCTCTCTCTGGTTTCTCTCTCTGGTCTCTCTCCCTGTTCACTCTTTGGTCTCTCTCTTTATGGTCTCTTTATCTGGTTTCTCCCTCTGGTCTTTCTCTCCCTGTTAACTCCTTGGTCTCTCTCTCTCTCTCCCAGTTCACGCTTTGGTTTCTCTCCCTCTGATCTATCCCTGTTCACTCTTTGGTCTCGCTCTCTGGTCTCCCTCCCTGTTCACTCTGGTCTCTTTCCCAGTTCATTCTTTGGTCTCTCTCTCTGGTGTCTTCATCTGGTGTCTCTCTCTTGTCTCTCTCCCAGTTCACTCCCTGGTCGCTCTCTCTAGTCTCTCTCTCTGGTCTCTCTCCCTGGTCTCTCTAGCTGGTCTCTCTCTCTGGTCTCTCTCCCTGGTCTCTCTCCCTAGTCTCTCTCTCTGGTCTCTCTCCCTGGTCTCTCTAGCTGGTCTCTCTCTCTGGTCTCTCTCCCTAGTCTCTCTCTCTGGTCTCTCTCCCTGGTCTCTCTAGCTGGTCTCTCTCTCTGGTCTCTCTCCCTGGTCTCTCTCCCTAGTCTCTCTCTCTGGTCTCTCTCCCTGGTCTCTCTAGCTGGTCTCTCTCTCTAGTCTCTCACATTATCGCAGCTCAAAGATGAACACTACCAAACTAACTTCTTTTCTGGGTGAGTAAACTTTCAAACCCAACAGAACACCCTTTTCTCCCGCTTACTCGTGGGGGAGAGCGATCTCGGCGGCTGCCACACGGGACTGGACTGAGGCCGGGCTGTCTCCACGGGGAGCGGTGGGACGGGCGGAGGCAGACTCTGCGTTGGCGTGTCCCACAGACGTAGGGGCAGAGACGGGAGCGAGATGGCAAGATGCTTTCCCAAGGGCCTCACGCTCACCCCCCCGGCCTGGAGCAGCTCGCACAGCCTCACCCCCGAGCCCTGATCTCCCCTCTCCTCCCCCAAAGCTCTGCTGCTGGTGGCCTGGGGGGAGCAGGGCTGGCTGAGGTGGAAGGCGGCTCGACGCGGGATGGGAGGAGGTGGAGGTGGGGGAGGTAAAGGGGGCGGGTCCTGATTGGCCTCTCCTTCGTCCTGATTGGGCGTCAGCAGTACTTGGACCGGGACAGGCTGTTCACTATGAGACAGAGGGATACAAGGGGGGAGAGGAGCAGGGAGAGGGACAGACAGAGAGGGGCCAGAAAGTGCGAGGCCAGAGAGAGAGACCAGTGAGAGAGAGGCCAGAGAGAGAGAGGCCAGAGAGAGAGAGACCAGTGAGAGAGAGGCCAGAGAGAGAGAGGCCAGAGAGAGAGAGACCAGTGAGAGAGAGGCCAGAGAGAGAGACCAGAGAGGTACCACAGATTGAGAGAGAGCGATACCAAAGGCAGAAAGAGAGAGACAGAGAGAGAGAGAGGGAGGGAACGTCAGTCGGCAAGCAGTAAAGAAAATTCCTACTGACGTCAGGTGATTTACTGCATTGGAGGAAGGTCACCGCGGTGCGAAGGATGTACAAGCACACACACACACACACACAAACACACACACAAAAAAGCTAGCACACTTTTATGGAGCCTTCTGCAGCTGCTACACACACAGTGACTCGGCCATGCTGCCAGTGCAAAAGCAAACTCATGCAGCTAAAACCTCGAAAGGTTTCAATGTTTTAAAAGGGTAAAATACATTTCTAGAGCTGGACAATGTTTGCTTTAGTTTCCATTTGTAGATGAGTATAGTGCTATAGCAGGCGTCTTCTAAATCAAGATTGTAATGACTTCACACTTCCTGGTTAGGAATGTAAATAACTTTTAATTAGATCCTTGAGTATTCTTTCAATTAATTGGTTAGTTGTTTGGATGGGTCAAAGACTATAACATTTCCCAAATAACATTTGGGAAAAAAAGAGGTAACACATTTTATTGGGAATATTTATTGAGATTTTAGGGTATTTCTGGAAATTATTTTGAACTTAAACTTAACACTCACTTTTTCGGAATTGACTGAAATTGAGAAATTCTCCCAAAAAGTGAGATTTCCACGAGTTTTATTAAAAGTAAGTAATTCATGTTTTATTTATTTTTTACATACTGTTAATTAGTGCTAAAACTGGTGAATATGAGTTGAAATGTACAATAAACAGTTTGGTGAAAGGCTAATGCTAAAGGCTAAATGCTAACTGCTGAAAGTAAACAGTGTGTTGCTATGTTTCGTATACTAATAATGACACAAAAGCAAAAAATATGTAGAAAGTTACACAGTTATGAAGACCACAAAAGCACATGAGCTTGGATTGTAATTAATTGTACAGTCTAAAGTTTGAGATTGGAGCCAAAAGAGGAGGGTGATTGTATGGAGCTAAAAGCAGAGAGGGAACCATGTTTAGGCCCGGTCCATTCTGCACAAGACGTCTCCTTTAAGTCCATAATTATATTTATTTATTACACTCACATGGATTTTTAATGCGCCATCCACCGCCCCCATCCCCCACATGAACTCTCCTGTCTCTTTTTCAAGCCTTCGTAATTACCCAGCAGGCTTTGCAGCGGCGGGCTATAAATCAGAGCTGGTGTTGATCAATAGAGGAGAGCAGAGGAGGCAGAGAAAGAGGCTGAGAGTGCAGCTTCTCCTCCTCCACGAACACAGGACGGAGATGCTGTGGTGCTCCGTCTGCTCCGGTGACATCACAGGGAGACTCCACTAATGCTGTGTCCATTAGTTACTGAGTGTGCGCTTTTTATTAGACAACTATTTGGTATATTTCAATTAAAAAAAACATGTTTTATTGGTATTGGAGCGCATAAAAGCTAAACTAGTTTCTGTCTCTCCATGGCCATATGCACCCCGGAGGACTATGAGGAGCACAGGGACCGGCCTTCTGCTGGGGGCCAAACTAAACATGAACTAAGCATGAAGAGGCAGCATTTCAGATTTATTCAGCTGAAATCTGGAACAGTCTCCCTGAAAATGTGAGACGGTTTTCTACTCATAGAGCCTTTGTCATCAGCTTTTTCAGAGACCGGACCACCCTCACTCGGCCAATCAGCTCTCATCCTCCCAAAGCATCAAATAGACTCACAGGGGTTCTTACTTACTTTGAATGCAAAATATGAAATGTTTTAAACAAAGATGTAAACACGATAAAAAGCTGTATGTATGTGTCCTTCACCAAGAATGAACAATATTTTGTAATGTGAAGCTTTGATAATTTTAATGCATTCTTCAAACACACTCACGGATAAAAAAAGATAAAATATGAGATAATAATTTCTAGATTCTTATTTTTTTGTATTAATTTGAGGACTTCATTTTCTTAATTTTTCAATGGGACAAAGCTATTAAAGTGGTTCTCAACCCCGCTCCTTGGAGCTTACGTTACTCAAATTTCCTGTTCAAATCTTCCTCTAAATGGGCGTAGCCTGGAGGACTAAAGGGGGCGTGAACGAGACTGGGCCGTTTACATTGCTCTGGGCGGGGGGCTGCTGACGTCAGGTCCAACTTGCAGACGTCAGGTCCAACTTCTGTGCCAGTGTTGGCGCCAGATTCAAAATTCAAATGTAGTAATACAGGTCGCCAGCAGATGGCGCCTCACAGACGGTTTTAGGCAGAAAGTCTAACTTTCAACTAATTTGCACCAAAGTGAGAAGATTATGACCAGGATATGTAGACAACACTATTGGACACTCATTTATACCGTTTATCAGCAAAAAAAAGTGGATTTGAGGGTGAGTTGTCCTTTAAGTCTTTTCTCATTCCAAAGGAGACATTGCTCGTCCTATTGGCAAATTGTGTTTTAAGGCAGTTAAAATGTGCTCAAATTAAGACATTTTTTTTTGCCAAATTTTAGTAATATTTATCTTATTTTTTGTCACTTTTTGCAGTGCAAGTGACCTTCTGTTGTACATTTTTATTAGTATAGTGAGCCTGGCTATAACAGCAACGCATGAGCCAGTCCCTAATGACCACAGTGAGGACTCTATAGCTCTATGATGGATGATGGATTTCTTTTCTCTTTCAGATCAGCACTTCTCCGGTGCTGATCCAAGCTCTCTCCTCTTTCTCTACATCCACACACAACTTCAACACAACTTCAACACGCGCACGACAAGCACAGAATCGACCACGCAATCATCGGCAATCACACACAGAGAGACGGTGAGACAGGGACAGACAAAAGGCACGGAGACGAAGAAGCAATGGCGGGAAGCTCAGAGAATGTTTGTGAAATTCTCAAAACAACAGCTCAGCAAAGCGACAGACAAGGTGATTCGAAAACAATGTACAGCTTACACGTTAAACCCAAGCAACAATGGTTTCTTGACCATTTTTCTATTTTCTAATTGAAAATAATTTGAACAAATTTCAAATTATAATGACAAAAGAAACTCCTCTTCTGACCCCAATGTGAAATCTCCATCCCCCAGTTCGCATTACCATGTGTTTCTTTTGTGATAGATGTGGATGAGGTTCTGTATCTCTCCGGTCTCTACATCCGTTCTCGATCTGGTCTCCCTCTCTCTGAGGACTTTCTCTCTCTGTCCTTTCTAGCCTTTCTCTCTCTCTAGTCCCTCTCTCTCTCTCTTGTTTCTCTCGCTCTCTGGTCCCTCTCTCTGGTCTCTCTCTCTGGTCTCTCTCTCTGGTCTCTCTCTCTGGTCTCTCTCTCTGGTCTCTCTCTCTGGCCTTTCTCTCTCTGGTCTCTCTCTCTTGTCCCTCTCTCCTGTCTCTCTTTCTTGTCTCTCTCTCTCTTGTCTCTCTCTAGACTCTCTCTCTCTTGTCTCTCTCTAGACTCTCTCTCTCTTGTCTCTCTCTGGTTTCTCTCGCTCTCTGGTCCCTCTCTTGACTCTCTTTGGCCTTTCTCTCTCTGGTCTCTCTCTCTGGTCTCTCTCTTTGTTCTCTCTCTCTCTGGTCTCTATCCAGGCCAAGCAGGTGCAAAAGTACTCTAACTGACAGTGATTGTCTAGAGGGCTGCATGGTTACTTTTTAGGTCTATTTTTGACGAGGGAACAATAGTTAAAAGTGAAAGTAAAGGCACATGTGTCCTGGCCATTATATGTTTATGTGTAATCAATATTCCATGAGAGCTTTGGCAATAATGTAGTAAAACGCTCATTATGGCCTCACTGTTAATGGTCTATTAGCAAATCTAATTAAAAGTCTTCCTCATAAATCTGCTGTTTCGCCCTGGCCACACATGAAGGTCACCTCACAAGTTCTGGTCACACAATCCCTTTCAGCAGAAATGTGTGTGTAAACAAACAGCAGGACACACAAAAATAACACAAAACAACATTTGAAGCTAGGGTGACCAGTGTCTTAATGCGGTTATCCAGAACTACACTTTTTTTTCCCCGTTTTTGGACAATATTTTGCATTTGTACTGGAAGATGCAGTAGTATTTTGTCATTTCTTTAAAGAAGAAATTGTACGCATTATTTTTGACCATTAAAAAAAATAAAAAATACCACCATAATAATTGTATATCTAGTTTTTTCGTAACATTTATAGACAGTGGTCATCTGCGCATTGTTTGACTCTAATCTGTGTTGGCAAATCGACAACTTTGCAAATTCCTCAGAGGTTGACTAATGTGATTAAAGGTTATAAAAAGATAGATTGAATTGAATTTCATGTTTTAGAATGTGAAGTAAAAGCTTAAGTACATAATATACAGTGAAACAAGTAGAAAGGGTTAAAATTATGTGTATGCCTGTAATTCCCTCGGCAACCACCAGAGGGCGGAGTAGATAATTTCAATATTATTATCAGATGTTGAAAATTACCAGCTGCAAACACAGACATGGGATTGTAAAGACCGTAATTTCACTTGAGAAAACTAACAAACCAAACTAATTTATGAGCAGAAAATTGTCATAAGACTTCTCACTGGTTTTAACAGAAGGGAGCACATCACCCCTGTCTTAGCGTCTCTCCACTGGCTCTCTGTGCGTTTTAGAATTTATTTTAAGATCATACTGATTACTTTTAAAGCTGGTTTAGGTCTTTTAACACCCTACGACCCTACAACCCTGTTGATCGTTCCAAGGTCGAGGCTTTGGAACGACCTGCCCGAGGAATTTTAACGTCTGCTTTGTCTTTGTTGTGTCTCTCTTCTTGTGTTTTGCTATGTCTGCTTTGTTTTTCTGTATCTATTGTATCTAATTATTTTTACATTGCATTATGACTGTTTTATTGTTTATCATGCTGACTGTGCAGCGCTTTGTAAACGTTGTTTTTAAAAGTGCTATACAAATAAAGATTATTGTTATTATTATTATAGTACAATGACATCATACTATTACAGAACTGAGACAGAAGATTTAAGGCAGAAGGGGAGTTACATGTTTGTGCCAGTAGTTCCTGATATGGGAGGATGGATCTAAAAACAACTCCAGGTTTTGATGAGAAAACATTGTGGTTTAGGTACCAGGTAAGATTATTCATCCCTTCACCACACTTTAAAAATCCTTCCTTAATTTTTGCAATATTGAAAATCTGGTCACCCTGTTTGAAGCAGATACACACACTCACACAAACACACACAAACACACGCACACACACACACACTCACACACACACACACACACATATATCAGTGTATTGTTCGGAGAGCCAGCCCCCACAGAAGCTTCACTCCTGTGGTGACACTTACATATGGGACACATACAGGGCACAACGTTTTAGCGGTACCTGCGAAGAAGTCCCGCCTCCTGATCCTGCCTGCGTTTGATTGGCCCGCCACTGCTCTTCATGCACGCAGCTACAGCCAATCCACTATGAGTGTTAGCCTCATGCAGGGGCCTGAGCACGGCTGCACGTTAGCACCCAAAAACAACAACCGGGGGAGAGAAAGAGAAGGACAGAAGAGAGGCGATGTAAGACAGATATATCAAACAAAGAGGAAAAAGATAAACGTGGTTATGTCAGGGAGGAGTCATGCATCAAACCAACATTGTAAGTACAAAGTAGGAAAGGTTAGAAATGTTTGCAAAGATGAGGAGGAGGAGCCTAAGATTAGTGATCAAAAAGCATTTAATAATAATAATAATAGCACTTTTCATACACAGTGGTGATAAATTACTACTGTAGCCACACCTTCCCTTAGCCCCTGCAAACCATCACCACTCATTCACGCACACACCAGACTCATTCTAGGCAATGTCGGTGAAGTGTCTTGCCTAAAAACACAACAACAGTTTGAGAATTTAAAGTGCTCGCCTCCCCACTGTGGCACCTAGTGTTCCCAGAGGTCTCCCATCAGAGCACTAACCAGGCACTGCCCTACTTGGCTTCAAGGTTTTGATAGGATTTGGTTTTCACATGCAGGTGGCGATACATCATGTTGAAAGAAAAAACATCTATGATAATAATAATATCGGTAACGAAGACACAGGAAGTTTCAGGTTAGCCTGTGCCGCTTGTTTAACTCAGCAGTCTGTGCTAACGAGAGGCCCAGCTTTTCTCAAGAAAGTGGGGACCAGTGGACCGCTGTGATTGGTCACAATCTGGACCCGAAAAAATTTCTCTTCCTTGTTGCACAAAAACTTGATCTAAAATCAAATGACACGCCAGCACAAATCTGCGTTACTTTTTCTTCAAAAGGACGTATATCCCAATGCATTGAATGGATATGGATTGAATTTTTGTAATGAATACAAAAATAAAGTGAGGTAATGCAGCTGTTTGTCTGGATTGTCCCAGACCCTCATGCTGCTAGCATGTACAGATGTAAACATACAACTATATATGTCTGCACTAGAATATACTTGCTACTTGCTTCTTTATTATGCTAAAGCTAGAGATGTTATACTCACTTATTTTGCTAAAGCTAGAGATGTTATACTTGTTTCTTTATTTTACTGAAGTTGGCGATTTCTTTAATTATTTTAGTATAGAGTTATTTATTTCCTCATTTATCTTGTGCTCCTCATTCCTACTGTTCTGTAACCGGTGATGCAACACTGACATTTCCCCACAGTTTGGACGAATACAAGGTCTCTTAATCTTGAATCTTTCTTTTTGGGACTTAAACCTCGAGTTTTCCTGAAGGTGCAAACTTTCCGTGAGTCATAAGCAGAAGTATAGTTCTGCTGCGGCACTGGGCTGCAGTGAGTGGGTGGTGAGACGGGCTGGACAGGAGATGGATAGTGGACTGGGAGATTGTGAATGCCAGCTTTTTCAATTATTCAACTTGAAGCTGCAGTACCTGAACTTTGAAACCACCAGAAATATACAACCATGTAATAAAATCCATGTAAGTTCCTATAGCTGTCAAACCTGTCATCACGCCGCAAAGTCTACCACATTCACATTTATCTGAACGAGGGCTATAGGTACAGTACATTATACAAAGGTACATTTCATATCTTTTACAAATTACAGTACTTTTGATTAAATTTATTTTCAATGTATTTTTGTAAAGGCCTAAGTCACAACAGTAGTTATCTCAGAGGACTTGGCCATGGCTGTCAATTCGCCAGCACAGATCAGAGAATCAGACAGTTCAAACACATAGAGACATCGGTCAATGAAGGGCAGATGATGACCAATGTCCATAGAGAGAGACCACAGAGAGACCAGAGAGAGAGACCAGAGAGAGAGACCAGAGAGAGACGCCAGAGAGAGAGACCAGAGAGAGAGACCAGAGAGAGAGACCAGAGAGAGAGACCAGAGAGAGAGACCAGAGAGAGAGACCAGAGAGAGAGACCAGAGCGAGAGACCAGAGAGAGACCAGAGAGTGACCACAGAGAATGACCACAGAAAGTGACCAGAGAGAGACCACAGAAAGTGACCAGAGAGATACCAGAGAGTGACGAGAGTGACCAGAGGGTGACGAGAATGACCAGAGGGTGACGAGAATGACCAGAGAGAGACAAGAGAGAGAGACCAGAGGGAGACCACAGAGAGAGACCACAGAGAGTAACCAGAGAGAGACCCAGAGAGAGAGACCAGAGAGACAGAGACCTGCTAAACTGCTACCGGCGGCGCTTTGTGTGAAAATTGAGACAAATTGGTCGGAATCCCTCGACATGGGACGTGGGAAAGTGAGAATCGAGTTACGTAAGGCCACCGATAGTGAGGCCATCTGCTCTCTCCCCCTTTCGTCCTCTGCTTCGTCAAGGTTGGCTGTTCCCCGGCCAGGACGCACACGCCGCAGAGCCATAATCTCTTGTATAGATTTAGTTAAGAGGCAGAGGCTGGAGGGGGGAGAGAACCTGCTTATACGGCCAGGTTTGGGAATGTTTACACACGCAAGTATCATGGAGGGAGGGAGAGGGGGAGGAGGGGGTACTGCAATGTCATGGTGCAGGGGAAAACATAGGAAGGCATGGGAAGACACGGAGGGGAGGGAGACGGTGAGCGAGCAGTTTTTTCTTTCAGAGATTTTCTGGGTTTTGAGATATATTTTTACATATGTCTGTTGTTTGAGATGACCTTATCCAAGCTTGGGGCAGGTACAATGAGTAAACTAACAGAATTTGCCAATGGGACAAAGCCATTTAGTGTTATTGTAGCTTTATTTTCTCAATTCAAGAGAGAAATTTCTTGTATCTTTTTAAAACAAGATAATTTTGCTCATTTTCCCATTGGCAAATCTGGTTTCAAGGCAGTAGAAAGGTGCGCAAATTACACCTTACATTTTGCCAAATTTTAGCAATTTCTAACGTATATTTCATCACTTTTTGCAACTATGAGAGTAATCCAACTTTACAAACTCTCACTGGCCTGAAAATATTATGAGTAATATTTCCCAGATCCAGTCCCACCTATGAAAGACTAAATCTCTATCTGCACTTTTATTTTAAAAGGGCCCAAAATCAACACCGTGACACAACTTAAGTCCATTCTCCGGTTGCAAAGTCACGGATCTGCTTGGTTTTGATATTTCCTCCCTGAAATGTGAGCTGGAAACACAAAACGTTTTGCTAAATAAACAAAAGCTCCATCGGCCTCAGAGCGTGCTGAAGGTAACCTCTGCGTGCGCCGCGGAGGAGGACGTGTTTGGAAATATGTGCCTAGTCACGAGAGCTGGAGAAAAACAAGTATAACACAACTGAAACAGAGGATTACATCCCGGTTCTGGATAATTAGGAGATTGTGACTAAAATCAAATAATCAACCACTTTTATATAGTCTCTTATTAGCTAGACAGTGCACAAACTACTGTGTATGGAGTCATTTTAGCAGCACAAAGTACATGTAATAATATTCAAAACATATTTATAAAACAAAATATGTATTGTTTGATTCAGCCTGACTTAAAGCTGAGGTACCTGAGTTTTTTCTTTACATATAATTTCTGTATTAGCGTCCTGTTTTTGTCTTCTAAATAGTCATCTGAGCTACTCTATGTCACATCTGCCTCTCTGGTCTCGCCCTCTCTGGTCTCGCTCTCTGGTCTCGCTCTCTGGTCTCGCTCTGTCTGGTCTCGCTCTCTCTGGTCTCGCTCTCTCTGGTCTCGCTCTCTCTGGTCTCGCTTTCTCTGGTCTCGCTCTCTGATCTCGCTCTCTCTGGTCTCCCTCTCTGGCCTCTCTTTGTACTCTCTCTTGGTCTCTCTCTCCTCACTCTCTCTCTCTCGTCTCTGGTTTTGAATCAAATAAACCATGAGTTGGGAAAATTACCTTCAATTATGAGGTATAACCAGTCATGAAGGACATATACAAAAACTATATATATTAGTTTGTGTTAGTATATATATATTATACTATATATATATTAGTATCTCTTATCAGGGACCCCAGCTTTACCAGACGTGTGTGTGTGTGTGTGTGTGTGTGTGTCGTACCCTGGTGCTGCAGCTGGTCCAGGTCCAGGTACTTGCTGGGTCTGGGGTTGAATCCTCGGGCGGCCTCTCGCTCTGCTTCTCTGCGTCTCTGCTGCTCCTGCTGTCTCGCTCGCCTCACTACCTCCTCCTGCAGTTCGTCCAGCTCACTGCGCCCTGGAGACACAGGTCAACATCACCGCACTCTGATCACCCGCCAAACAAAACCAAACAATCAAATAAAAGATAAAAAAGGGCTGTGGATATATCCTGCCAGAAGCGGAATCAAAATCAGTTTGTCGGGTCAAATGCAGGTATGAGTATTAAAACATGGCTCTTTATGGGCTGTGAGAGAGACTGTTAGATTCATGTGTTAGAGCCAGTGGGGGCGGGTCCCGGCTCAAAAACGGCCAAAATGACGTGCGCTGACATGCTTGCAATACCACCTGGGCCGATGGGGGTGGACCCAGAAGAAGAATTATTCAATGCTAACCATAGACTGTATATATTAACAGACAGAGTCACGCCTATCTCCGCCGTTATAACTAATGGGCCAAAAAATTTGCTCTACTGGAGCTATCCAAAATGGCCTCGAGTGGTCCCGCCATGGATCTATTATAATAACTGGACAGGGTATTACTAGCTTGTAGCTGAATAACCCATGTGCTCAGGGGATTCTCGCGGTGCTGCAGACTGAACCAGACTAAATTCACGTGGGCTACCCAGAAATTTTCCCCATAGAACTCAATGCAAATTAAAACAGCTCGACCTCAGCTGACAGAGAACCTACAGCTTTAATAAAGATAGGATTTTGTGGGGATTTTAGTGTCCCTTGTCATCCTGAACTTTTCGGTTTTGTTTAAATCCACACTTTAGTGCCACAAACTCTGCTCGTCTGGCTCTCGCTCTAACTCCCGCTCTGATGAACTGCTCTGATTGGTCAGAGCGCGGCCGAGCCCCTCTGTGCACGTGTGTGAGACCCGGTGTGAGACCCACACACGCGTGTTTGGCGCAACGCATTATGGGAGATCATCCACTGCACAGAACCGGGAGGACCAGACGATGCCCAAATACAGGCGAGTTTCCCATAGATCGCCATCTTGGATCGCCGGGGCTTGGGTCCCGCCCACAAGAAAATTGTGAAAAAACGCATCTGCGCATGCGTCCGGTGAGAGCTCCATTCATTTGAACGAGAGACTTCAGAAATTCACAGCGAGTAAACTAGAGTGGACCAAAAAAATCACCCCCCTCAGCATTGACACACATGTGGAACGGAGCTTTGGGCCAAGAGCCAACTTTTGGTCCATCCTGTAAAGACGTTTTTGAGAGGTCTGCCAATGCTATATGTTAGCATTGGCTAATTCTTCTTCTGGGTCGACCCCATCGGCCCGGGGTGGTATTGCAAGCATGTCAGCGCACGTCATTTTGGCCACTTTTGAGCTGGGACCCGCCCCCACTGATGCTAACGTAAGTAAGTTTTTTTTATTTATATACCGCCTTTTCACTGCAGATCTGAGTCTCAAAGCGGTTTACAATTGTTAATTTTGGCATTTGTCTCTCACTCCACACAGAGATGGGAGCGGGGGCGTATAGCATTAGCTGACCTCTCAAAAAAAGGATAGTCCAAAAGTTGGCTCTTGGCCCAAAGCTCTGTTCCACATGTGTGTCACTGCTGAGGGGGGTGAATTTTCTTGGACCAGTTTAGTTTAGTCGCTGTGAATTTTTGAAGGCACTCATTAAATTAATGGGGCTCGTGCCGACTGACGCATGCGCACATGCGTTTTTTCACATTTTCCAGCCCCCGCTACCATTTTGAAACTGCCCATAGACCGCGGAAGCTGTGGCACATTAGTTAGAACGGCGGAGAAAGGTGTGACTACGTCCGTTAATATTTACAGTCTCTGGTTAGAGTCCACAAAGTAATTATTAAACAACATCAGCCTGTAGCTCTCTCCCTCTCTGGTGTCTCTCTGCTCTCTCATGCTCTGGTCTCAGTCTCTGGTCTCTCTCTGGTCTTTCTTTGCTCTCTCTCTGGTCTGTCTCTGGTCTCTCTCTGGTCTCTGGTCTTACCCATGTGGGAGGAGTGGCCTCTGGCGTCTCGAGGCAGCTCTTGTAAAATGGCTCCGGTGCTTTTGGACTTTGGCACCGATCTCCACGAAGGTCCCGACATGAGGGGCCTCTTCTGTTGGCCCACCTCCCTGTCCCAAACCACATTATCTTATTATCAAATATACATTTCTAGGGTTTTTCTCAAGCCCAGAATAAAACAATTATCCTCGTAATAATTAAAGTCACAAAACAAACATTAAAAACATTTGTTTTCATCTCACATCTATGTTTATCACAAGAACTCCCAGAGCAGTCAAAACAATGGAGTTGAGAAAAGATATCCAAAAAGTGATCTCTCTCTCTCTTCAGTCTCTCTCCCTCTCTCTATCTCTCACGCTTCAGTTTCTCTCTCTCCCTGGTCTCTCTCTCCCTCTCTCTATCTCTATCTCTCCCGCTTCAGTCTCTCTCTGGTCTCTCTCTTTCTCTCTCCCACTTCAGTCTCTCTCTCTATCTCTCCCGCTTCAGTCTCTCTCTCTGCTCTCTCTCTCCCTGGTCTCTCTCTCCCTCTCCAGTCTCTCTCTCTCTCTATCTCTCTCTCTATCTCTCCCGCTTCCGTCTCTCTCTCCATCTTCAGTCTCTCTCTCTCTCTATCTCTCCCGCTTCAGTGAGAGTGAGAGTGTTAAAAGTTGGCTGACCGATCTGGGCTGCTGCTGTTGCGCTCGCTGCTCTCGTATCCGCTCTCCATCCTCTGAATGAGCCGCGGTTGGTGCTCGGCTCCTCGGGGCAGAGGCGGAGCAGCAGGAGGGCCCATGTTCCTCCGCCCCGCCCCCTCCTCCCCTCTGCCCTCTCCCTGCGCTGCCCCCTGCTGCTGCTGCTGCTGCTTCTGAGGGGGAGGAGGGGGAGGAGGAGGAAGGGGAAGCGCGGGGAAAGGGTCCTGGAGCTCCGGAGGCAAAGGGGGCACGGGCGGAGCGCTGTGGCCCGTGCTCGAGGCCTTCTGTCGGGTGAAGATGCTGTCGATGTTCAGCGCCTCTCTCCGCGGCCTCCAGGTCGGACGGTAGCGGCTTCCAGAAGAGCTACACGGAGGCACAGGGGGAGTTTGGGATTAGAAGAAACGGTTTAGTCACACTTTAGTTTAGCCCTCACTCATTTACAGCTAATCAGGGGCTATTAGTAAGTAAATAATCTGTAAATATATATAGCGCCCAAGTTCATACATAAAAACTTAAATAATAACAATAATCTTTGTTTTTGGTCTCTCTCTCTCTGGTATTTCTTTGGCCTCTCTGGGATCTCTCTTTGGCCTCATTCTCCCTCTTTCTCTCTGGTCTGTCTTTCTGATCTCTTTTGGCTTCATCTCTCCGTCTCTCTCTCTCTCTGGTTTCTCTTTGGCCTCTCTCTCTGGTCTCTCTCCCTCTTACTCTCTCACTCTGGCCCCTTTCTCTCTCTCTAGTCTCACTCTCAACTTTTTAATCTCTTAAACAACCACTGTTTCCTAAATGCAAAAGTATCCTCCCCTCTTTATTCAGTGATAGTGTACAATTCATGGTAATGAGCTCTTAATTGGTATTTACTAAGTACTTATTCTACATGGCCTTATTCAATATCTAACTAACTACTAACTGACACTTTCCCATGAGGTTTAGGGCTAGTTTTAGGGTACACTAACCAGCACATAATTAGTGAGGGCTAAGCTAAAGTTTTACCCTTCTTTATATAATATTTATTTTCGTAGAGCCCCAAATCCAATCCAATCCACTATATCTATATTTTAGTTATATTTATAGACTAAAACTTATTCCTAAAGTCCATAGTAAGTCAGATCATTAAAAGTCAAATAGGATAAAACCCAAATATAAATATATATTATAACAAATGACTCAATCACTGCAGCTGTCTTGGAGGACTTTACATAGTTGCCAATTCACTGACATGCAATCAGAGAATCAAACAGTTTGAGCAAGGGGATGGGATGACCACTGTCTATAAATATTAATGAAATATAGTGAGAAACCTCGGGGATCCGCTCCCACAGACGGACGGGCGACTCTTCCTTCACTGAATAAAACATAGAATGAAAAAACTAGACATGGTAACCTAAGATGGATGGATGGATGGATGCTAAGAAGCTAGCTTTACGAAGGAGGAGGAAGTGTTCATTTCCTTGAGTTTTGTTCCACTCACTACTCTACCTGGACTTGCTCTCGCTACTGGTGCTGTCATCCTCCCAGTGTGGACCCCCGGCTCCGCCCTCGCAGCCCCCGACTCCGGACGAGGAGGAGGAGGAGAGCGGGCGAGAGGAGGAGGAAGAGGAGGTGTTGGGGCGGCGCGACGACAGCAGGAACACGGCGGTCTCTTTGTACTCGCCCAGAGCAGGAGACGGGGGCCGCGCTGGACCCTCCACTGCTGAGTCTGCAGGAGAGAGGGGAGAGAGGTGAGAGGAGAGGGGTGAGGGGAGAGGAGAGGAGAGAGGGGGAGGAGAGAAGAGATAGAAAAGGGTGGAGGAGAGGTTGATGAGCAGAGAGGTTAGAGGACAGAGGAGAGGGGTGAGGAGAGGAGAGGGGAGAAGAGAAGTGTCAGGGGAGAGGAGAAGGGAGAGGGGAGAGAGGTTAGAGGAGAGAGGATAGAGAAGAGATGTTAGAGGGGAGAGGGGAGGGGAGAGGAGGGGTGAGGAGAGGAGAGATGAGGAAAAAGGTTAGAGGACAGAGGAGAGGGGTGAGGAGAGGTTAGAGGAGAGAGGAGAGATGTGAGGAGAAGAGGAGAGAGGAGAGGGGAGAGAGAAAAGAGGTTAGATGAGAGAGGAGAGGAGAGGTGTGTGGAGAGGAGATGGGAGAGGAGAGGGGTGTGGAAAAGAGAGGTATGAGGAGAGGGGTGAGGGGAAAAGAGAGGAGAGAGGGTTGATAAGAGGGGGGGAGATATGGGAGAATAGAGGGGTGAGGAGAGGGGAGATGGGAGAGGCCCGTAGTAAGGTGCACTTTATATTCCCTGCAGGGATGTGTGTCCTCTGCATGTGACCTGTCATGGCACTAGGGCTCTTGATACAGCAGAAAAAGTTATATACAAAATTGTCATTGTGTCCCTGGGCAAGACACCTAACCCCACCCTGCCTGAAGCCCCCACTGAAGATGGCTGTCTTTGTAGGACCATGCACCCACCACCTGCAGGACAATCACTGAGGGGCCAGAATGGACTAATGAAGGTGATGAAAGTGAATGAATGAAAGAATGAAAAATGTTGCTAGTCCATTGGCAAATCTTGGTCAAAATGTTCTCTAATTAACATACATTTTGCCAAATTTGGGCCATTTTTGACATATTTTTAATCTCTTTTTGCAGTGCATCTCTATACAAGAAAAGAATAAAAAATGCCGCCAAATTATTCACTAGTAAGATATAGAAATCTGGTACTGATTGCAAAGCTGGTCACACTTCTGGGTTGTATCTACAGGTTGGTTCCCGGCCTCGAGGAAACTGCCCCAGTATTCTGAGCTTGTATCTGAATTATAAATTTAGCCGACGTCGCTTCTACATGAAGGTGTTTAAAATTGCAAATCGCCCGCTCCGCAAGACGCCACTGAAGCAAAAGCCCGATATTTGCAGCAAGCACTTCTGCATTAGGGCTTCTTTTTGTTTTTTTTTACAGCCCTTCCCTGTGGGGGCAATTAGCCAGTGGCAGCAGTGCAGATGGGATGGAGCGCTAACAAGAGGCCAATGCAGAAAGTTGCCCATTGACTTTTGCTTTTGTGCCCCTACAACAACAGCAACGAGTGCCGCAGCGTATTCCCTCGGCTCGCTGCGGCCGCTCAGCTGCTAAAGTGGTTACTGTAAATGAAGCAATAACTCTCGGCTTTTGGGTTCAATGCAGCAAAAAAGTCAAAGAGGTGCAGGAAGAACCCCAGGACCGACACGGCGGCTGTTAGCTTAGCGCGGAGAGGGACTGGATCCAAATCTATAGAGCCGGCAGTATTGATAACAGCAAGTGGTTTCTTAGCTATAGCATGTACTTCAGCTGGATCGCAGAGGGGTGTGATGTCACATAAACGCAACCTATTCCACTTCATATCCCATTTCTAGTAGCGGAAAAATACGCTCCTAGTGCTGCACAGATAAAAGTAACACAATCAAATATACAAGTCTGCCAGCTTTAAACAAAAATTAAAAAATAAAATAAGGAAAACAATGAAAATAAAATAAAAACAATTACAAATAAAATAAAAACAATGAAAATTAAATAAAAAAACAATTAAAATAAAACAAAAACAATTACAATAAAATAAAATAAACAATTACAATAAAATAAAAACGATTAAAATAAAATAAAATGTTCTTCAGTTCAGTATTGTGATATTATGCGCACAAAATTAAATCGATACAACTGAGAAAAGTATTGCGATATTTAACGATTATCCATTTCCAGCTGAGGTTTCTGTTCCTCTAGATGTCTACTTTTCGTGACTCTAGTCTGTTGTAAATGAATAATGTAAGTGACGTCCCGGGAGCTCAGCATTTATGTGAGAGGTCGACTTCAGAAAATAATGATGTCTTGTCTGTAATAAAGTCATATGTCCTGAATTTTCAAATATGAGGTTTTTGCTCTACCCT